CCATGTAGTAAGAAAGCAGAATTAGCTATACTACTATACAAAATAGACTTGAAGAAGAAAACTGTTACTAGAAACAAAGAAAGACATGTTGTGATAATAAAATCACCAATCCATCTGCAAGAGGTAACAATTATAAACATGTATGTAATTAACACAGAGCTCCAAAGTATGTGAAACAAAGCTGACAGCATGAGAGAGAAAGATAATTCAGCTGTATTAGTTGAGAGATTTACAGACAACAATTTCAAAAATGAATAGAACAACTAGACAGAGTTGAACAATTTTAGGTGAACCAGAAATAACAGAAAATCTACATTTCATTTAACAATAAAATACATTTTCTTCTCACCTGCAATAGAGTTATCTTCTAAGATAGACGATATGCTATTTCATTTAAATATATCTAAAAATATTTAAATCAAACAAAGTATGTTCTTTGGTCACAACATAATGAAATTTGAAACCAACAACAGAAAGAAACTTGAGAAGTTATAAATTAATGGAAATTAATCACCTCATTTCTAAACAGCAAATGGGTCTGTTACAGTTTGGATATGGTTTGAGTGTGTTTCCTAAGGATTTATGTGTTGGGAGCTTGGTCCCTAGTGTGGCAGTGCTAAGAAGTAGGGCCTAGCAAGAGGCCCTCAGCTCAGGTCACTGGGGGAGCTGAGCATGGAAGGGATTAAGTTATTAAACCTGTGGACTCCCTGAGCTCTGTGTAAGAGTGAGCCTAACCCCTTTATCTTTGCCTTTCTGCTTTGGGGTATCATCTCTCCCTCATGCATATACTCTTGTCATCCACTAGAAGCCAAACACTTGGGGCTGCAGCATTTGGGAATTTCATCTATAAACATTATATATATTTTAGTTGTTGAGAGACCTTTATTTTATTTACTTATACACGGTGCTGAGAATTGAACCCAGTGCCTCACACATACCAGGCAAGTGCACAAGCACTGAGCCTCAGCCCCAGCCCCAGCCCCTCATCCATTAACATATTGAGCTAGCCAGACAGTGGTGGCACATGCCTGTAATCCCAGCAGTTTCAGGAGGCGGAGGCAGGGGATCATGAATTCAAAGCCAGCCTCAGCAACAGCAAGGCACTAAGCAATTCAGTGAGACCCTATCTCTAAATAAAATACAAAATAGGGCTAGGGATGTGGCTCAGTGGCTGAGTACCGGTACCATCCGCCCCCCCGCCCAAAAAAAAAAAAAAACCCAATCAAACCATTTTGAGCTAAATAAACCTCTTTTGCTTATAAAGTTAGTCTGTCTCACAATTTTGTTAGAATAATGGAAAACTGACTAATATAAACTTTGGTACTGCGAGTGGGGGGGCTGCTGCTAATAAGGAATAACTCAGATTATGTAAATTATCTTTGAAACTGGATTATGGGTGGAGGTTGAAAGAGTTTGGAGGAAGCTATAAAAAATCTAGAATGCTGTTAGGAGAGCAGTTGGGGCAATTCTGGTGGGGGGTTCAAAAGGCAAGATAGGGAACTAGTCTCAGATGGAAATGAGAATTCTATTATAAACTGGACTAAAGGCCATTCTTATTATACCAACGCAAAGCAGTTGGTTGCACTGGGTTCATGCGCTAAGGTTTTACAGAAGGCAAATTAAGAATGACAGAATAGTTTATTTGGTGATAGACACTTCAAAACAAGTTACACAGGTTGTATCACAGGTATTAGTGGACATTCTTAGTTAGATTTACAGTGAAACTCAGAAGTAACAGGAAGCAGAACAAAAAGATTTGGAAGTCTCAGCTAGGCCAGGAAAGAATAAAAAAAAATTTGTGTAAGGGTGCACCACTCCCTCAAGACATTAGCAGGAATGTTGATCTTCAGGGCAAGGAGAAAAAGGAAAAAGGCCTCAAGAGTATCTTGGGAATCTTTGAGGCGACCTCTCCCATCACAGTACCTGGGGACTTCAAGGGCAGAGTAGTTCTATGGAACCCTGGGAGTTGTCTCTGTGTGCTCTTATATGGAGGAACACCCTGGGACTCTTTTCCCCGAGTTTAACCTGGAGGCAATACATTTCCCACAAAGAAAATCTCAAGAACAGATTTCTTTACCAGTAAATTCTACCAAATCTTTAGCTTGGTATAGTGGGAATACCTGGAACCCCAGTGACTTGGGAGGTTGAGCTAGGAGGTTTGCAAGTTTGAGATCAGTGTCATAAATTTAGTGAGACTCAAAGATAATAAGAACTGGGATGTAGATCAGTGGTGAAATACCCCTGAATTCAATCCCCAGTTAAAAAGAAAAAGAAAAAAATTCTACCAAATATTTAAAGAAGAATTAGCAATGATCCTTCACAAGTTTTACCAAAAAGCAGAAGCAGTAGACTACCCAACTCATTGAAGGAGGCCAATATTACCAACCAAAGATACTGCCAGCCAAAGATGATATGACAAGGAAACTATAGAGTAATACCTCTGATGAATATATGTGTAAAATGCCTCAAAAAAATTAGCAAACTGATTGCAACAGCATATACAATAGATTATACACCATGACTTAGGTGGATTTATCACAGGATTACAAGGTTTGTTCAATATACAAAAATCAATTAAAATATAAACTCTATTAATAGGACAAAGGGGGAAAAAACTCATATAATCATCTTAGCAGATGCAGAAAAAAGCATCTCACAAAATCCAACAGATAAAAATACTCAATGTTGATTTGAGGAAACTTCCTTAAATCAATAAAGGCATCTATAATAAAACACAGCTAAATTGGGGCTGGGATTGTAGTGGTAGAGTGCTTGCCTATTATGGGTGAGGCACTGGGTTCGATTCTCAGCACCACATTTATAAATAAATATCTATTCATCAATAACTAAAAAAATATTTAAAAAAACAAACAAAAACCCCCTATGTTATGTTGGAAGATCGAAAGCTTTCCCCTTAAGTCAAGAACAAGACAAGGGCATTCTCTCTTAGATTTATTTATCATGTTCTGCCATTTCTGGTGAGGGCAATTAGGAAAGAAAAGAAAATAAGCCATTTGGATTGGAAGAAGTAAAATTATTTCTATTTGCAGATGACATGATTACAGAAAATCATAAGGAACATACATGCACATATACATGCATGCACGTGCCTATCAGTGTTAATAAACATGGTCAGCAAAGATGTAGGAAGATCAACACAGAAAAATCAGTTATGTTTCTACATATTAGTAATTACCAATTTGAAAATAAAATAAAGAAAACAAGTCCATTTGCAATAGAATCAAATTATAATAAAATGCTTAGGAATAAATAAAAAAAATAAGAGTTGTACACTGAAAATAGGACATGATTGAAAAAAATTAAAGGCCTAAATAAAGAATAGACATTTCATGCTTCTGGATTAGAAGATTTAATATGTAAAGATGGTAGTAGTCTCTTCTAAATTGGTCAACAGACAATGCAGTCCTTATCTAGATTCCAATGGCCTTTTTGGCAGCTACACAAGCTGATCCTAAAATTTGTAAGGAAATGCAAGAGGTCCAGAATAGCCAAAACAATCTTGAAAAAGAAGACAATTAAAGGACTCATACAATCTGATTTGCAAACAAACTACAACATTATAGTAATCATGACAGTGTGGTAGTGGCATGAGGACAGATATAAAATGAATGGAATAGTGCTAAGAGTACAGAAACAAACCTACAACATCCATAATTTATTCATTTTAAAAAATTCATGGGGGGGGGGCAGGCATGGTGGTACACACCTGTAACACCAGCTGTTTGGGAAGTGGGAGCAGGAGAACCACAAGTTTCAAGGCCAGCCTCTGCAATTTAGTGAGGCCCTATCTCAAAATTTAAAAAGAAGAAAAAAAAAGGGGGGGGAATGGGGATGTAGCTCAGTAGTAAAGCACCCCTGGGTTCAATCCCTGCTACACCTACCCTCTTCAAAATATACAATGGGTAAAAGAATAGTCTTTTTAACATACCGTGATGGAATAACTAAATATATACATGCAAAAGAATGAATTCAGACCCTACTTCATACTTACATCATTAAGGATTAAAATTCCATGTGCTGCCTTGATGTCTTTGAGACTCTCAGGGAAGTAAAAAGGCCTGTGAGCTACCCTTCTCTCACCCCCACCAGACTATTCACCTGGCATTCTTCCTGGTCCCGAGTCTAACAGTTGTCACCTTCCTGCCAGCCACAAAATTATCCAAACCCGTCGCATGCTCCTCCTGAGGGACCTGAGATTCATTCTGCCCTCTAGTTACTATAAAACCTGACTCTCTTATTCTATTTTTTCCCCTTATTTCGACCTAGCAAAAAGAAAAAGCTGGCAGGAATTCCATGAAAATAGAAGATGTATCAGTGGAGTACAAGAAGAGGATTGAGGGGGGAGAGGAGGAATGGGAAAAGGGAGGAATGGTGGAATCATCTGACAAAATCTTCCTATGTACATATATAAATTCAGCAGTGAGTTTCACTTTTATGTATATCCATAATGCACTAATAAAAAAACAATAAATAAACAGAAGAAAGATCAGTGAAGTAGTGAAAAGAAAACAGGGAAAGAGAGGAAGAGAGAGAAAGGCAAAGTAATTGGGACTAAATTGGAGTAAATTATATTCCAAACATATGTCGAAACTCCTAATATTATGTATAACTAAATGATCTAATAAAAAAAAGTTATGCCAAATAGTAATGGGGGGGGGGGGAGAATAACCATGCCTCCTATATCCCTGCTTGTTCATTCTATTTGCACTGTGGCCTGAGGTTATACTTTGTATTTCTATTTTTAAAAAGTTGTTAAGGTATGTTTTATGCTCAAAATATACAGTCTATCTTGGTGAATATTCTGTGTATTCTACTGTTATGGGATGAGTACTTTAATAAATGACTATAAATGTCAGTTTGATCTAGTTGACTAATGAGCAGTTCAACTCTGTCCTTCCTGAGCTTCTCTGCCTGCGTTAGCCATCTGTTTTTTGCATGGTCTTCACATGCCAAGAAATATACAAAGGAAATGTGGAAAATTTGAATGGCAAGCATAATTTTATTCAAGATAGCACTGGTTAGCTCCCAAAATTGCTGAGAAATACTTAACAACATTATGTACCAACAACTGGCCCTAGGTGAAGCTGGCTTCATATATTTATTGATATTTTCCATTTTGGAACCTCCCAGTCACATAAAAATATAAATACTTTTAGGATTGTCAATTCAAAACAACTTTTTGGGAAGATGGAATGTAAAACTCTCTATAAAAACTTCTGTGACCAATATATAGCAGCATCAAGAAAAGAATAAAAGAACTTTAAGAACATTGACTTATTTTTAATATCAATAATTATATTTTCAAAAGATGATATAATTTACATTTAAAAGTATCAATATCATAAATTTATAGCTTATAGTAGGAAATATAAGAGTAAATGGCCTATATACACTTTGCATTATTTATAGACTCTTATATATACACCCTATATACTTTCCAATAATCCAGAGAAAACATCTACAATCCATTTGTTTAGACTGTGAACAACAGTGTTTAAAATGAATCAAAATAAAAAGATTTTCACTTCTTAGCTGCATATGATGTAAATATATCAGTATGAAGATGAAGTCTGAGATCTGTGTTACACTGAGGATGTCTAACTTTGTTCCATGCCAGCCATGAGTGACAGTGCTAGAGATTCCACTGTGGGAAGAAGAAAAATAATGTTAAAAAAAAAAAAAAGTTTCAATACTTTTAAATGTTTCAATAAGGCTGCAATAAGCTCAAAATTGAAAAGTATTTAAACATGTTCTATTTTAAAATAAACACTTATTTTTTAATGTATAATAAGAATTATTATCTTTATTTATTAAGTATAAATGGGAAAGGTTAGTAAGATTTGTTTCTATTTCAAATCATTTTAATGTTGAAAACAAAATCTAGGCATTTCATTGAAAAAGTACATTTGACTGATATGACATAAAACTCGGACCCTGCTCAAATCACACTGCCACCTTCTAGCAGAGTGGACGACTACATCATTGTTTCCTCTTACATAACCAAAACACGGTGCTTTTTAAATGTTTAGCTATTCTTTTTTTTTGGGGGTGGGGAGGTGTGTATCAGGGATTGAACTCAGAGGCACTCGACCACTAAGCCACATCCCTAGCCCTATTTTGTATTTTATTTAGAGAAGGGTTTCACTGAGTTGCTTTGCTCCTTGCCCTTGCTGAGGCTGGCTTTGAACTCGCGATCCTCCTGTCTCAGCCTTCCAAGCTGCTGGGATTACAGGTGCCACCGTGTCCGGCATGTTTAGCTATTCTTAATAAGTGTATTATAATCTGAATATGCAAAATTTGGAAAGAGTTTAACTCAGCAAATATTCTTTACAAAAAAAGTCAGACAGAGAGATACTACTTAGTTTTTTGTTTCCACAGATTAATACTCTCTCTTTTCTCCACCACCACCACCCCTCAGACCATTCTATATTTTACACCATGGGTTCTGAATTGTCAAGTCCACATTTCCTTCTGAGGAGATGCAGACTTGGAAATTTTAAATTGTTTACAAAAAAATTCAATCTTTTGGAAATGAATAGTTACAAAGTCTACATATGATTACTCTTCCAGTTTCTTTCTTTCAGCTTTAGGAACCTACTGGTATAATAAATGATGTATTAGAAAGCAAAGTCATTAGTCCCAGGGATCTGCATCTGATGTTCACATGCCCCAATGCTATTCTGAGAACAAAATTCAAGGCATGGCACCTTCCAGTTTTGAAAACGGTGAGAAAAGCAAATTCTTCATGAGATCAATAACAAAACAACGATACACAGTTAGCTGAAGAAAATATAAAAGTAGTCATATTGTAACATGATGTACTCACAATGGGGAAAAGATCCTCTGCAGACAGCTTTGTTTAAAATGGTTACAAGAAACATGTGACAGTTTTTAAAATCAGACTCCATTTTCTCTATAGATTCCATTCTAGGAAAGAAAATTGAATTTATGTAAATGCATAAAGGCTTACAAACCATATAGGTAGGCTACAAAATATCTTTGGCGTAATTTCAAAAGTACATTAATTATTTAAAATTCTAACTTTGAAGATTATAAAACAAAATACAAAATACCCTGTCTTACTTTAAGATAAAATTTTTCAAAGTAGCTCATGAAACCATGCCTTTTCCAGGTAATATTTAGTTCTGGAGCTAGGATGGATTGGGGATATTCCCTTTTCCTTTACATAATTCTGTATTTCTATTTTTTACAAGCATATATTCTCTGTGAAATAAAGAACAAATTCAGGATATAAAACCCTAATATCTGGAATTATTAAAAAGAGACTTAAGCTGGGTGTGATGGTGTACACGCCTGTAATCCTAGTGGCTCAGGAGGCTGAGAGTGGAGGATCACGAGTTTAAAGCCAGCCTCAGCAAAAAGCAAGGTGCTAAGCAACTCAGTGAGACCCTGTCTCTAAATAAAATACAAAATAGGGCTGGGGATATGGCTCAGTGGTCAAGTGCCCCTGAGTTCAATCCCTGGTATCAAAAGAGAGAGAGAGAGAGAGAAACTTAAACTGGGAACTACCTCACAAGAGAGAACCTCACCATCGGTTCCCTCACATCGGATGTGCCTTCATCCACCTCTAGCAGGCACTCAGGGGACTAGCCCTGCTTACACATCCTCAGCCCCACCGGTACTTAGATGCAAATCTGAGATATCAAAGCATTTTGTTCATAAATATTTCATAAATGTATACTTTAAAGATTTCCTTTAAAACAGAGCCATACCATTTGCTTAAAAATATTCTATAATATTAAATATCACATAATCAGTGGGTACTTAGGCAAATTTCACCATCTACAATTTTTCACTTTCCTGCTTTAAGTATAAATCAGGATCAACTAACTTCCATAAACTGATGATTTTTCATATGCTTCTTAAGTCCCCCAACCCCTTGCTTTCTTCTTAGAATTTGTTGGAAAAAAAAAAAAAAAAGTTCAAGTTTAGCAAACCATATACAGCAGTGATTTTCTCCTCTGCCCCACAGTGAAGTTCTGAAGGAAAGAAGTTCTGCACTTGGAGAGGGCATTAACAAAGCAAGCAAAGACATCTATTTCAGCAACTCAGTGAGGCTCTAGGTAACTTAGAAAGACACTGTCTCAAAATAAAGAATAAAAACAGATAGGGTGTGACTCAGTGGTAAAGTACCCTGGGTTAAATCCCCAGTACCAAAAAAACAACCCAAAAAATTCCCCCCAAAACAAAGAAGCTTGCCTAAGAACTTGCACATTTCCTCTGAGAAAAACCATATATATTATCAGAGAGCTCAACCCTGGGTGCATTATAATCTTCTCTTCACTGAGAAGCCAGGGGTACCCACACACTGTCCTTGGGTGTATACATCTTTGCTCTCCTTAAATAAATCTTTGGTGTGCCTTGCTTCTGACATGTTCTGAAATTCTTTTCAGCAGAGAAAGAACCTGCCTGGGCTGAGCTGAGGTCCCATTTTCCTCTTTGGAGAAACCTCCTTGGATGCCTAATTGGTGACATTATCAAATAGGAAGAAGAGCTCCTGAATCCTCAACTTTTCAGCATTTCCCTTGACTGTAGGGAACTTTTCCCTTCTTAAGTGACACGTGTGAATGACAAACATTCTAAAAAGTAAAATACACATCTATTAGCATACAAAATACAACTTTGGACTATAATCTAGCATGGTGTCCAGAATCCACTTTAGAATGATTCAGCAAGTGAGGGGGTGGGGTAGGTGGAGGACAAGATACAGAACTGGTCATCACAGGTAAATGGGAGAAGGGGTGATAGGCACCCAGGTCTGTTATGCTGTCCTCTCTACTTCTATATACATTTGAAGGTGTCTGTAAAAAAAATAAATAAATAATAAAACACAAAACATATAATCTAAGAATATTTGCCAGTCCTAATGAAAAGACCTCAAACTTTTCTTAATGTTTTCTCCCTCATAAAAGAATCACACAATTCTTTGGGAGGCTGAGATAGTAGAATTGCAAGTTCAAAGCCAGCCTCAGCAAAAAGCAAGATGCTAAGCAACTCAGTGAGACCCTGTCTCTAAATAAAATACAAAATAGGGCTGGGGATGTGGCTCAGTGGCCAAGTGACCCTGAGTTCAATCCCTGGTACCAAAAAAAAAAGAATCACACAATTCTTGATGCTGCCCAGTTTAGGTGAACAAATTCGATTTTATTATTTTTTTCTTTTTTTGAAGTATGAGGGATCAAACCCAGAGACTCTCAGATGCTAGATAAGTGCTCTACTACTGACTATACTTCCATCCCTCAAATTTGGTTTTTAAATTCTTCTTAAATATAGTGGTAATTAGTGTGTTGTCAAGATGAAAAAAAATGAAGCCAGTTAGAAGGGAAGCTGAAACAGTCAGAAGACAGACAGTCGCGAGGTGTACACTTACTGCCAAGCCCCCAGGCCTGCCTGCCAACCTTCTGCAAACATGAGAGCCAGGTTCAACACCTTCATGATGGCTTCTTTCACAAAGCTGACCTGGAGATCAAAATCAGGGACAGAACACAGGCTCTGTAACTGTGCTTGGACACTGACACCAACACTTTCACCTAATTTAATTAAATCACAGAAAAAGCTTATCAATGCAGTGACTGCCTTCTATGTATAAGGAGGGCACCAGACTTCAAGCCAGGTCCACTTGGAATGGATCATTTGTTGCACACGATTTAGGAGGTACTGGCAGCACAGTGGAACCAAGAAGGCAAGCTACCACCCTGGGATGGCCATTCAGATCAATGGTTGTGATACTATTCAATTTCATATATTCACATTAAGCCGAATACACAATTGCTCCACAATTGTGACCTAATTTTCTAAATAAATCCAGGTGTAAGGCACAGGGAATGCTGACTATGGTAATACAGTTCTCATGTTGTTCTTAGAAATATAACTTCCAGGGGTAGGTAATGTAACCTCATTTGACCCTGTCCTTCCTAGGAAAAGATTGTGCAGGATAATAACTTAATAATCACAAAATTGCAAAGCAGATAGAAATTCCCACTTGCCCAGCTTTCCTCCTGCCTCACTGGCCACATGGGTGGTAACATCTCTCATACCTTTTCTCTCAGTAGACATCGATCATGGATGGTTGACAAATATCTATAGTGAATTTTAATCAACTGATCTAAATCCTTGGCTTCCTCAACTTGATGCTGAAACTCCAGCCCTGTGCTATGAAGAATCTTAGAAGAGAAAATAAAAAGCTTAATCAGCATATCTCATCTTTGAGGGCTGTGTGCTGTACACAAAACTTTCTACCAGCCTCTTCTACTTTTCACAAATTCTTCCTTCATAATCACACCCTCCTTTAAAGGATGACTGGATGTGTTGATGTTCTGATCCTGACAGCAGCCTTTAGAACAGACACTTGCACTCAGCACTGAACTTCAGACTAACAGGCTTCCTGTTGCGAAGGAGCAAATTCATGAAATCAACAAGCAAATGCATAAAAAAAAAAAAAAAACCTATCAGGAAAATTGTAATAAATATAAGCATCGTTTTTGTAATTGAAAACTTAAATTCCTATTTAACACTTTTAATAATTAAGGGCCTAACTTAACGCCAGCCTGGTGACAGGATGGGGAGGCACAGAGCACCCAGTTCGTCTTTCATGCTCAAAGCACAGGCTTCAAAGGGTCCCTTCATTTAATAAGAAAGGTTCAGCATTTATGTACCAGAATAGTTATAAACAAAGGGATGGTTTTTGTTTTTTTTTTTGAAGCAAACTTCAAATGCCAAGGAAGTTTTGGCCTCTAATAATAACTGCTACAGTTCAAATATTGGAACTTCTCTTTCAGAACTTCCTCTGGAACCAGTTTTAAGATGTGTAAGAAAAGCAGTTTCATTTACTTTTTAGTGAGTTACTTCTTGTTTCTGAGAAAAAAGTATTTAAGCTGGTGGCACTTTCCCTGCCCTGAGGATTTGGACCGATACTAAATATTGAATCAATTTTCCAGGGACAGCAATCATCACTGATGAAATTTAGTGTACAATGTAGCATGTTCTGAAGGAATTCAGAAAGAGGAGCTCCAAGTGTGCCTGTGCTAAAGGGCCGGAAACAAGAGGGGTTGTAGTCTCTGGACACAAGTGCTAGTAAATTAAAAAACATCATTTCCTCCCGCTGATATCTTATTCTGTGATTAAATTTTGTATATGTCCCATTTTCATAAGTTACAAGTATTTGGGGACTCCTTTGTATTGCCAAAATTTTATAGGTTGTGCTCTATAAAGAAATAAATACATAAAGTGACAGAAATGAGGCAGATGGCAGATACCAACCCTGGTCATGATGTAGTTGTGTAAACTGTTCACAAAGTGCATGAGCTTCACTCTTAAGAGGAACATGCGATGGATCTGCTGTCCTACTGGTGCCTTTTGTGATCCAAACTGAGCAACTGCGTCTTGCTCACTCAACAGGCCTTCTTTAAGTTGTGATTTTTCAGTAGTATTTGCAAGTTCTGTAAAAGATTGAACGAGCACAATAGGTGAAAAGCACATTGGCTCAAACCCCACCACACTCTTACATAGAGAGAATTCTGGGGTACGAGGCATAGGCATTGCTGGAGCACCATGACAGGGACACACTAGGACCCAACTTCAGTGCCTTTAGAAGACGAAATGTCAAGAGTTCCCTGTATCATTTGTTACCACTGTCACATGAAACACGTAAAAGTCCCATTAACTTGTCATTTGGCACTTTTGCATACTCTAAAAAGAATATTTATTTGGGCTAAATTCCTACTTTGTTATTGAATTTCAGATAAACCCTATGTACAACTTCTTGATATTTCTTTTCTTTTTTACCCTCCCTGTTTTTCTTCAGTACTGGGTTTTGAACCCATGAACACTTAACCACTGAGCTACATTCCCAGTCCATTTTATTTATTTGAGATAGGATCTCCCTAAGTTGCTGAGTATCTTGCTAAGTTACCCAGGCTGGTCTCAAACTTTGAATTCTCCCACCTCCCAAGTTGCTTTAATTACAGGTACATGCCAGTGCACCCAACTTGATATTTCATTCAGCTATTTTAGGCCCATTAAACTGATGCTATAAATACACATTAGGTTGGCGTCTGTTTACACATTTTAAAAAATCATCAAAAAATACCAATCTTTTTCTTCAGGACTAAAATTGAATTGCAGTTTATCTGTTATAAACAAATCTTGGGGCTAGGGATAGAGCTCAATTGGTAGAGTGCTTGCCTTACATGCACAACACCCTGGGTTCAATTCCCAGCACCACACATAAACAAACAAATAAATAAATAATCTTACCACCAAATAGTAAAACATCCAGACTATATTTTGCCCATTTTATTTGCAATAGGAGAAGGAACACCTGATTATAAATTTTTTGACATTCCAAACTTATAACAATGTCTACAGGCCATGGGACCTATGAAAACAAATACAGAATGAGAAAAGAAAGGAATCTATGTTTACATTTTTAGTTTTAATAGAAAACAATGTTTGTAAAAGGAATACCCACACTCACCTTGTAACTCAGGGTCAGACCATCTAAAGTATGAACAGGTAGTTTCTTCTTAGCTGTGTCAACATTTTCAAAAGATATAGATAGTCTAAACAAAAAATTTCAGGTTTAGTTTGTGACAATATTATGTTCACATAAAAAATGATCTTTTCAAAAACAATTAGCATTTCAGCATTTATTTATGTAACGTTTAACAGAGATTTGCATTTCATAAAATTCAATTATGCTAACAAATTCATTCTCTAGCATGTATTCGAGAACAGAATTTAGTTTTAGAAATAAGGAAGAGGAGTAAAGATTTTAAACAAAGGGCTAGTTATAAAAGAGATACTTAACAATGATAATAAATTAATTAGAAAAAAAAGACAAAGTTGGAGAATAGGCTCGGAGCTTAATTCTGGTAAAAGTCAGGCACAGGCTAAGAAAATATACTCCTCTGCTCAGGGGTGGGGGAGAGAACAGAAGAGCAGCCTCCTCAGTGAGCTAGGCATGCATCGAGTGCAGAGGTTTCCAGAGCCAGAGTGAAAGAATGCCATCTGCTTCTGCAGCAAGGTGCCGCACACTGCTTCATCCATGTGTTCCTGAGAAGGGTCTAAATAGAATTCCCACAAGAAAGCAAGCCAGTAACACAGAATTTGGGAATGTTCTGGCGCCAGGCAATACTCTGGCCCATGTCTTTATTTCATGTGATTCTCTCAGAACAGTCCTGATAGCCCATTTCTCCTTCCTCCAGGGACTCCCTGCCCAATGCAGACTGGTAGTCACTTTCATGGTACAGGGGAGACAGCGCTTCACCAAGCAAGCATATCACTGCCAGGCCACAGATGGAAGAGAGGGAAATAGCACTTGGGGAAGCCAGAAATACTTCCAAATCCCTGAAATGTGAACTATGGTAGGAGAAAGCATATGATGTGCATGTATGTATATAAGATATGAAGTTTAGAAAATAGAACCAGACAAAAAAGGCTCTATTCCTTGAGAGATGAAGCTTGGCCCACCTGTTTGGGAAACTTAGAAGGGGCCTGAGCATGAGTGTAGAAGTCCCTTGTGAGGGTGAAGAGCTTTGTGTTAGAAGGGAGTGAGGCCAAGAATCAGAAGAGCTCTAAGCCATCCCTGAGAGGCGTGTGCCACTGTGCCCAACTATGATATTCTTATATGTAAAATAATTAGTAAAACTCATGGGGCTAATGCCTAATACATGTAAAAACTCATATGGCCCATGATTTACTTTACACTACTTAACATAAAAGGTGCCTCACATATTTTACCGTGAACTATCTTCAGGATAACGCTGTCCTACTGCTTCTTGGAGTTGGACATTAAGAAAAGAAACATTCTGCCAGGTTTCCTTTTCTCTTATTTTATCAAAAATTGATGTGTAGAAGTCATACATGGTATCTCCACCCTCCATTAAGAAAAAGTTTCTCATGGCCTGCAAGTACTCAACCAATCTGAATGGAGAGAAGATAGGGACAGAAAGATAACTTTTAAGTTTATAAGGCAGGATTCTAGATCAATTCCAGATTTGGTACACCACCACCTTTATGAAATAGATTTACATTCTACATTTATTAAAATTAGAAATATTAAAGACTTTTTTCAATAATAAAATAGTATAATAACTAGAAAGAAATACCTTTCTATAACATTATAGAAAATTAGGCAAAGTCACAAATATGAAACGAAATGAACAAAAACCAATCCAAATGCTATCATCCATTGTGAATTTCTTTATTTTGGTACTGGGATTGAACCCAAGGGCCCTTTACCACTGAGCTACATATACACCTAGCTCTTTTTTTTTTTTTTCCTTTTTTTAATTTTTAAATTTTGAGAAAGAGTCTCACTAAATTGCTAAGACTGGCCTTGAACTTGCAATCCTCCTGCCTCAGCTTCCCAAGTCACTGGGATTAACAGCGTGTGCCACCATGTCTCCATGGTGAATTTCTGCTGTTAATACATGGGAGTATTTTACTCCAGTCTTTTCTCCAATGATTTTTAAAACATCTAATTTTTATCATATGTATCCTGCCTTTTAAGCTATAAGGACAGTTTATGTTATTTAAAACTCTATATTGACATAATTTTTATGAACTTTATGAAGTTTACACATGTTCTTTACATGTGTACACTAGTCCTTTATACACGTCCTTTACAGTTTACACTAGTCCTTTACCATAGTTAAAAGAACGAGTCATCTATTACCAAGTAGTTTCATGTTTTTCATCCTAATAGCCAATTTTGTGATGAGCATTTTTGTATAAGTTCTTTGGGACAGATTCTCAGAAGTAAATAATTAAATTTCACAACTCAGATAAGAATATATTGATGTCTAACTGATCCCAACTGGATGTGTGCTTACTACATGTCCATTTCCTACTCTAATGAAAACTAACTTGAAAACAGATTTTTAAATAATTTTATATGAGGCCCTGGGCTGGATTCCTAGCACTGAGCATCCCTCAGAAAAACCAAACCAAAACAACCCAACTGTTCTTAAAAGGACAATAAACTACTAACTATTTCCAAAACCAACTTACTCCTGATTACCTGTAATCTTTTTTTAAGGTTTGCATGAGATTTCCACAACAAGCTAGGTACTGCTTATCAATATGAGGATAGAGGCAAGATCTCAATGTTAATTCAAAAGTCTGGCAAGTTACAGATTCTGATGATCTATCCACACATATGTCACCACCAGCAAACTTCTCGTGAAAGTCACTCTGCTCCAAATACAACCTTGAAAATAAAAATGTGAGGCTTCAATTTTCATGCGCTATTGTCAACAGAATTCTCTTAAAACCTAGAGTCCTACTTTTACCTTTTGTCTTAAGATTAGCGATTTTTACAGGAAGAAAACCCTTTCTCCCCAAAACATCCTTTCAGAGTTGCTGCCACCTTTAAGGTCAGGTTCTGGGGTTGGTCCTTCCATTAGGGCTGCATGCAGCAAATACTGGTCATCAGACAGTGTGACACCATGTGGACATTAATGGCTTATTCCATTGAGCTAAGTGCCTAAAAGCATCATAAGCCCAAGACACATTTTATGCACAGGAAGACCCTGACTCAGTGTGTGTCCAATGTCTGCCCAGACTTCAGGAGCATATCTGGGTAAGCCATAGCACTTTTGGGGGCCTAAGGGTATAGAGACACCAGCAAGGCCAAATCTGTAAACTTTTGCACACAATGAGAAGGACCAATTATATATCTTACATAGGTAAAGGCATATTTTCTTGCATTCTGTTCATTAGGAAGGAGAGGCTACAAGGGTTTTTGTTTTTAATTCTGGAAAGCCCTACCTGGCAGAAATAAACAGTTACTAAATATTGTACAGATGTTGCCATTTCAACCACTGAAAATCTTGCAGGTGTGTATCACCTTGCAAAGTTAATGGCCAGCAGTGGGTCATGAATGTCATCCAGTTCAAGATGCCTTTCAGCTATGGACTGCATCTTAATTAGGTTCTCTTTGGTTGCCTGTTGATCAGTAAGGACCTGTGGAGTGGAATCTTCTCCACGTCGAAGACGTGACTGTACAGATTCCAGAAAGAGGGTGTATAAGCTTTTTCTGTCTGCGTCTGAAATATGAAGAAATATGTAAGGTAAATCATGTTCTCATAAATACTATCAACAAATATGGAAGACTTTCATCTTAATAAAGCTTGGTATTTTCCTTTGGTTTATGAAGGACTATCCCTATTTCTTTTACCCTTGTAGTACAGCAAAACTAAACATATTATATCCTGTTAAACAACTGAAAAGCTCATGGTTAAATATCACACATACAAGCTGATTTTATTCTGAACAAAGTTAATATCTGAAGCAGGATGCTTGAAAGGTAAGTTACTACCATACTGTATAATGCTACAATAAGACTTGTAGGAATCAAATTTCACTGGAAAAAACCCTACCAACACTGGCCCTGGATAGCTCTTAATAGCTTACTGTTCAATTAAAAAAGAAATACTGTGCAATGTAAAAATATTATTTAAAGTAGATATGATAAACTGAAATAATATAATAATACGGAGGTGATTTATAAGCTAAATACATCTGGTCACATCTGACTTTTAAGCCTTTTTAGTCAGCTGATAAATATTTAAGTAAATTACTTAAATTGTATTAAAAAACACAAAAATCATATAAAGATTTTCTCAAACTCTATAATCAGGTCTGAACTGCTCACTGGAAAATTCCTCTCTGCCAGAGGCCATGGTGCACAAGAGTTAAACACTGCACTGAACCAAGAAATGTGAGAAAATTATATTTTTAAAGAACCAGGTCTAAGGAATTGAGAGTGAGGAATTTATTATTACTGTCTTTCTAAACAAAATGCTAAAAGTTCCCAATGAGGACAATCAGTTTTTCAATCAAGAGTACCATGATTATTCATTCAATCATGGTGTAAATTCCATTAAAATAAAAAGCTCCAGTGATTTTCAAACTACGAAATAGTAGGACTCTCAGGGTGACAGGAGTGACTGGGGAGCAATGGACCGGATGCTGAGGAGGACGGTGAGGTAGAGATGGGCTACCTCTGGCTGCCACCTGGCTCGCAGTGCTCTCCGCACACCTCAGGTTCTTCAACAGCTGCATTGACTTGCCGGCCATTATGATTTGCTTGAGGACAGGCTTGAGGAAGGACACCATGGTGTGCTGCCTGCTGGAGGGACCCTGGTCACTGCCAGAACTTGCGCTAGCATTGTCATTCATTTTTTCTTCATTCTCTGTCTTTTCCGATACACTATATAATGTGTAAGTTGCATACCAGAAGTCTCTGTGATTTACTGGAACATTTTTGTTCCTAAGGAGATTCAAACAAATTTTAAACTGTAACTCACTCATTGCCTTAGAAGAAAAATCAGAATCCAATTTTCACAAAAATTCTCCTATGAGCTGATGAAACAGGACTTAGCACAGATATAAAATTAGATGTAAGATTTATATCTATGCTAAGATATATAAAGATATATGTATCTAATATACATAAGATATATATCTTTATATATCTTACCATAGATATAAATCTTACTAAGATTCAGCTGATGCAAGGCTGGTTCCTCCAAAGAGAACATTGTGCAAACTGTTACCTTTCTAGGCTCCAGGACTTAAAGGTGCCTTTCCTGGGGTGTTCAATGGATAGCTATCAATAGAAATCACAATCTAACCAGGCTGCATAACTGAAAACTATTCAGAGTACAGCTGTCACTTGCAGTTTATAAAATTTTGCCAGAAAAATAAGTTTATGGAAGGGGAATCATTATAAATGGATTAATATTTTCTTTACTTGTTATATTAACAAGCTAAAGGATAAGAATTTAGTTGCTTATTCTGAGAAATAAATATATTAGAGGTATATCCTATAATTTAAAAAAAAATTTTTTTAGATGTTCATGAACCTTTATTTTATTCATTTATTTATTTGTGGTTCTGAGAATTGAACCCAGTGCCTCACACATGCTAAGCAACTGCTCTACCACTGAGCCACCAACCAGCCCCTCATATCATTTATCTTACTGATAATTTATAATGGGAATAGTTAGAACCATTTCATATCATCTAACTTCATTTTATGGGATGCAGTGTACATTTTAAAATTATTCTAAAATAAATTGCTATGAAAAGCTGTGAGTGACATATAACTAGACAAATTTTTTTTTCATTGGCTGGTATTTTACATCTTCTATAGATCAAATAGAACATAACTATGCTATGATGGCAACACAGCTCTGTCATTCAAACTGCACTCTCAGTACCATGTGAAGCTTGGAGCATTCAGTTTTGACATGGAAACAAACAAGTGAAGCCAACACCTAACATCCCCCGTGCTGCTGGCTGGCTGCACCTCTGTATGATGAACTCCCTGGCGCCGTCCCACAGGTGCCCATGCACAATCCACTCATCCACAGTCTGCAGGTATGGCCGCACTGTTTCCACCCAGAGAGAGAATAGGAGGGAGACCTACGGAGCAGAATGTGCACAGTCAGTGCTCTCAGCTCTTGCTACTAGGGTGAGATGAGGCCTAAACATTTCCAAAATGCCTTTAAAAAAGTGTCTGGACTTCTCTACTTTTTAAAAAATATTTTATTTGTTGATGGACCTTTGTTTATATGCGGTGCTGAGAATCGAACCCAGTGCCTCACACATGCTAGGCAAATGCTCTACCACTGAGCCACAACCCCAGCCCTTAACTGTTTTTAAATGTACTTAAGTGATTTCCAGAACTAGTTCATGATGTAACACTGAAACTCTGCACCCATTAAACAAGTCCCCATTCTCCCTCCCCAGCCCCCAGTAGTCACCATTCTACTATCTCTATCAATGTTACTACTTTAGATGACTCCTATCATAAAGGTGTGTTTTTTATGTAAAAAAGAGTTAATACAAGTATCTACAAGAGGCTTTGTCCTTGCCTCATTCTTCTGGAGATCTTGGCAACTAGAACTAAAAAGGTAGTTTCCTACAGTCTTGAATTTGGAAGCTAACTTTAAAACTCTAAGCAACTGTCTGACACATCATGATATAAACATCACTTAATAAATAACTGCAACAATTATATACCACTCCTTCACCATGCACTGTACACCAAGTAGAGGTTCCACTTACAGTTTGCTCAGAGGCTTCTCCAACATTGTCATATTCAAGAATGGCCTTGTACAGGGTATTGAGCAGGTGAGATGCCCGGACAACATTCCGAGTGTCAGGGGGAACTTCTGCTACTCCAGTACTAAACACTTTGTGCAAAACCTTGAGCTGAGCCAATCGAGGTGAGAGCTTGTCCACTACTATTGCAAGAGTTATGGTGGTATCTGCAAGCATCAATAAAGTCAAATTCAACAGCAAGGAAAAACATCTGGGTCCAAAATATGTTATAATTGCTAACAATGCTAAGCCACTTCTTTGGCTTATGAAAAGGCATGGCCAAACAGGTTTTAATTTCACATCACAAGAAGTCAATTTCCCTCAGGAAAAAATAACCCCTGAAGTCAAGGAGAAAGACAAATCAGCAGAAAAATAATATATCATGAAATCTACAGTTCACAGAAAGGGAAAAAACAGTGATTCTTAAACAAATGGAAAGAGACTCAACCTCACTTATAATGAAAGAATGTGGATTAAAACTATATATGGATAAAACAAGAATAGACTCCTTTATGTGGTCTACCATTTTAATGAGGGGGCAGGGGAGGCTGTGACTATAAAGGAACGGCACAGCTTGAGCAAATTCCCATGTGGTAGGCCCAATTCCTTGTCCTGGATATGGAAGTGGGTGTATGGATTTAAGAGATAAAATGGCAAGATCACAAAGATACTATGCCCCACTACCCCAAGTATGTAATGCTGGTGACCCCATACAGACTGGGTACTGTGTTATACCATATAACTTTCCCAATTTTGATCCTACACTGTAATTATATAAAGTTTTACCACTGGGGGAAGAAGGGTGATGGGCACATGAGAACTCTGTATACCACTCTTTTCAGTAGTTGAAAATAGAAGGAATTCAAAGAAAGAAAAACCAAAAAACTACACCGATGACTATTTAATCCTTGTCATATTGGTGAAGACCAAAAAGTGTGATAACACACTGTTGTTGAGAGATTGAGGAAAGAGGTAGTTTATATATGTTGCTAGCAAGAGCAGAAATGTACTTATCTATACCTCACTGGAGAGCAAGGTGAAAAAAATCCAGTAAAATCGCACATGCCATCAGATACTCTTTGATTCAGCAATTAAATTTTTAAGACTCTACCCCACAGATAATATGCTCTGTGAGTCTGATTACTAAAATGTGTAAGCGGTTATCATGCAGCTGGGAAGGTAAGAGCAAAAGAGTAGAAAAAATCTAAATGTCCATCAAGGGGGGCTAAGACTATGAGATAGCCATACAATGATATACCAATTTATTAAAAGGAACTAGGAGGTTCTCACATACTTTTATGGTATAATCCTCAAAATTTAAGTCAGAAAACAACTTGAAGAGAGTAGTGTACTGACTACGAGGTATTTGTTTATGTCTGCACTACTTGCGCATGTCTCAACTGCTCTGGAAGGGTACATGAGAAGGCTGAGGATCTGGTATCTCTGCGGAAGGGAATTGATTGGCTGGGGAACTGAACAGGCAAAACAATTTCACTTTAAATCCTTCTACACATTTTGAATTTTTTGGAATATGAAAGGCTTAAAACTATAAATTCAAAAATAACTTAAAAATTGAATGCATGAGAATTACTTATTTGCCATGTAACTTTCAAACCTTATACTATTAAATAACTTAAATGGCATTTCAAATAAGAGTTATGTATCTCATGAATTAAAGGATATTTAAATACCATTATTGATGATGGACTTCTCAATTTCTGTAAGTTCCTTTTTGAAGCTAATAAAATATTTGTACAGGGCCCACATGAAAGCCTGGTAGGTTCTAAAGGGAGCTTCAGATGACTTTTTAGGAATGGAACCACTTCCAGGTAATGGGCTTTCGGAGCTGTGTCCCATGACTTCATCAATGAATTCCTGGAGTCGAAATACAACCTGGCCATATGCTGCAATTTGTTCCAGCACAGATCGTAAACAGCTCTATCATAGAAACAAACCCCAATTATATAAAGTCAGACTTCCATAAACATTCAAATTCATTGCCCCCTAATTGTAAAATATTGTTTTTGTGACTGCTTTAAACACCATGTTTAGCAGAAAACAAAGCAGTACAATGATGAACATCTAGTTTTATATTTAAGAGAAACAATGAGCATAAATTTCTATGCAATACAGAATTGTGGCTTATACTTTTTAGCCACCATCCCTTTGCCTCAGACTCCTGAGCTGCTAGAATTCCAGGCATGTGCCACTGTGCCTGTACTTATACTTTTTAAAAATACATATAAACTATAAGTAAAACAACTGCAGTTTGTCGCATTCCCAATACAGAATAAAAGGGGAAAAAATAAACACAATGCAAATCGAAATAAAATGTCAGAAACAATATTAAAGAATGGCCTATGTACTGTAAAGATACACAACTTAATTTTGCTTTATGAATCTTAAATATATTTAACAGTTAATTCCAACACTGTGAAATGTTCTGAAGTTATACTGCCACCGTGTATATAAATCCCATTATTTAGCTTAATTTTTTAAAATATTTTTTTTAGTTGTAGATGGACAATACCTTTGTTTATATATTTTTAAGTGGTACTGAGGGTCAAACTCAGTGCCTCACATGTATGAGGCAAGTTCTCTACTGTTGAGCTACAACACCAGCTTCTAGCTGAATTCTTAAATTAAAATAAATACAAATAACTTACGTGTGTCAAATGAGTTACTATAATATTGTTTCTCACAGTTACCTTCCCATCTATCAACTGAAATATAAAGAGTTTTTTTACCCCTGAAAGTAACCTGAAATGAAATAAAAGAAATATGTTAAGTCTAGAAAAATATCTATTATAGAAATTTTTAATTAAAGATTCAGAACTAGGGGACAAAAAAGGTCAGATGATAAGAAAATGAAAAACATCAATCTTTGATTACCTTAAGACTCAAGATATCTCAACATCATCTTAGGGAGAAGTCTGAAACAGTGTTATCAAAGCACCTTTCCCACATATTTGATGACCCAGAGACCATCCCAGGCCTGAAACTGTCAGTCTCACACTTTTCGGCAGGAGCACCAAGATTGGGCACTCAGCCATAACAGCACTACAAGCCTTGTTAGATTCCCGGCCACGGGATTTGGTACAGGCAATTCTCATCAATACACTGCCCAGTAAAAGGAGTCAACAACAAACTTTGTTTTGAGCTCAGATAGTTAAAAAAAAAAAAAATGATGTCCTAATTCAATAAAATCATATACTAAACTACTTAAAATGGAAAAGAAGCAAATGTCAACATCTCCAATTTCCAGAGTCAAATCCAAAGTCTGAACTTCATCTCTAACGGCCCGTTTCTAGTTTGCATGTGGAAAACTTATGAGCACTTTCCTTTACAAAAAAAGTTTTGCTTCTCACTAATAAATTAAGAAATTATTACCAAATAGTTAAGAAATCTTACCATAGAGTTTCCCGAATAACCTGTGTCTCAGTAACAGAAACTCTATCATCTGGAACATACAATGGATCACTACTGTACAAGTGTTGATCCCTAGTAGAGAGCAAATATAAATGTCAACTGTTAAGTTTCTAACTTGGTAAAGTTACTTACCTCAATGAACACAAGCAAGTTTGTGCTACCTCAGCTAGTAATCAATCAGCAAATAAAATGATAAATGCCCTCCATATTCATTTTACACACTGAAATACTCTCAGAGAAGCATTTTCAGGGTGTTTACAACTATTATGTTTATTGCTGATTTAGGCAAATATTTACGACTATGCAATGTGTCTTCTGTAAAAAAGTAAATGTACTTTTGTTTTAAATCGTTATTTAAAAATTGTTCAATTAGAATTGTCTTAAAACAACAACTAACAAGCTTAGATTTCAGGTAAGTAGTTGATTTAAATCACAAATCAAAGCCAAATGTCTAAACATCAAATTTTATTCTTTCATTACATTAAATGAAAAGTTTAACTTCTTACCATACAGCAGCTAAATTGGAGTGTAAATGCAAACTATGTGGAATTCGTGAGGGTCTGGCTGTCCAGTACTGATGGACCACATGCTGTTCTAACCAGCTTCGGCCATCTGGCTCATCTGTTGGAAAGAAATGTAATAAGTATAGGTTATAAAAGTTAACATAATAATACTTGGTCGTGATATTTGGACTTACAACTCCATTCCAGAACACACCTGAAAATGGCTCTTTAACATGACATATTTAAAACCACATACACAGAACACATAATATTTAATTAAATCCCATTGGCTAGAAAGTAAAAAACATTTGCTCAATTTTAAAATGACTCCATGAATAAAATGATAAATGATAAAATCAAATAGTCCAATAACCATTAAAGAAATTGAAATGGTAACAGAAAACTTTTCCAAACATCCCCAAAGCCTTAAGACTTGTACTAAATTCCAAAGAATCTCTATTTTACACAAGTTGTTCCAGAAAAGAGAATAAGGGAAAGTTATGAGGCTAATATAAGTATGATGGTAAACCAGGTAAAAATATGATAAATAATTCATGAAAGAGAAAAGATAGAAGCACTAAGCAACTCAGTGAGACCCTGTCTCTAAATAAAATGCAAAAAAGGGCTGGGGATGTGGCTCACTAGAGTGTCTCTGAGTTCAATCCCCAGTACGGGGGAAAAAAAAAACATTGAAAAATACCTAAAAAACCTAATAAGGTATTAAAAAAAAACCCAATCAAAGAAGTTTAGCTTAGGAATTCAAAGATGATTCAATATCCGACAATTTATTAACATAGTAATAGGGTAAAAAAGAAAAATTATAAAATTGCCTCAGGAAAAGAACAGCATATGATAAAATTCAATATTTATTTGTGATTAAAGACTTATTTAAAAAAAGAAATATAAGATAAATTGCTGTAATCTGATAAAGGCCACATACTCAAGCTGATACCAGCAAACCATCACCATCATGAAGGAGTTTCATGTTAACAGATGACTGACTAAAAGATACCTGCAATGTCTAAAACCTGGGAATTAATATCAATATATGCCAAGATCTCTGGTGGCTGGGGAGAGCATAAAGGATACGATGTCCAAAAGAAAAGCAAGTAAATGATATCAAAGGGCAAGCAATTCATAGAAGGGCAAGTCCCAGACACCAAAAAATAACAAGAGCTGTCCCTAAATCACTAGTAGTCAGACTCATGCAGATGAAAACAATTCCCAAGTCCCAAGTATGGATCTTATCAAGTATTGATAAGATTATAAGAGAAGAAACTTGTATCCCAGCCAAATTCTCACAAAGGTCAAGGACAGGCAGAGAACTTGGGATTGCAGAGGAACTCAGGGCCTATCATCAAGGGAACAAGTGACAGAAATATGGTAGCTGCAGACTGGAATACTACGCAGCAGGCAGAAACAAACATGGACAGGTTTTAAAACAAAGTTGAATAAAAAGATCAACAGAAGAAAATTTACACATAATCTAATACCTGTTATGTAATTTTTAAAAAATATATTACTTTTTAGTTGTAGTTGGACACAATACCTTTATTTTATTTACTTATTTTTTATGTGGTGCTGAGGATCGAACCCAGGGGCTCACACATGTTAGGCGAGCAGCTAGGCAAGCACTCCACCCCAGCAGCCCTAGTTATGTAATTTAAATGTATTACACACACACACACACACACACATACACACTAGTACATGTGTTTCACAAGAACTCATTAATAAGAAGACAGATAGCAAATACATTAGAATAGTATCTATAACTGGGTTGGCAGAGAAAGGGAAATAAGAGAATCAGAAACAAAACAAAACAGAAGAAAAGGAAATAAAGTAAAAAGCCCTAAAATAGACTAGAGATGATAATGTGATGATAATGTGCTCAAATAAATGTCACTCTTTTCTCGGGGGTCAAACTAAAAAGTAAAAAAAAAAAAGAAAAAAAAAAAAAAAAAAGGAGGTATAAGCAGAAAATCAAGAGACCTGGAGTCAGCTTTAAATACTCTGTGCCTATCTGGCAAGATCCAAGTGCAGAGGACAGGGTCTGGCTGCTGGTATCGGACTCACAGTTTGCAGCTATGGGAAAACCATTCTTTGTTTCCTCATCTCCAAAAAGAAACAAAGAAATAGATGATCTAATCTCTAAAGTTGCTTCTGGCTCTTTCTAGACTCTATCAGTTCAGAGTTCCTCACAAAAAGACTGAAAAAGTTGGCATTTAAAAAGTAAATAGTACAGCTCTACTTATTTAAACACTAATATCAGCAAATTCAAAAATAAATAAATAAATAGGAACATTTAGAACTAATAAAGTTATCAGAACTGTTTAAAAAAATGCAGGGCTGGGGCTATAGCTCAGTGGTAGAGCGCTTGCCTTGCACATGTGAGGCACTGCATTCTAAAAAAAAGCCTGCATTCTAAATCTCTTTTCAATATTAATTCTATAGTGCTACCAGTATTACTGCTTTTTATTTTTTAAGTGGTGCTGAGGAGCAAAACCAAGACATTGCTATAGTGCTACATTTTAGGCACTGTATAAACAAGTCTACTAATGGTTTAAGATTTATTTTTTAAGTAGGGGCAGACCTTACCAATATCCCAGAACACACCAGCAGCCAATGAATGACATACAATACCTTTCCAACTGACTCGGGGCCCCAGATTTCTATTTTGATCTAGTTCTTCTAATGGGGTCCTGTCCACCTGGATCCCAGAGTCCTCCCTGCTTAAGGGCTGTTGAGCATCCTCTTCTTCACTGTCGTCAGACCAATTCTGATTTAAAAAGGAAATACACATTTCAAAGAGAGTACAACAGTTAGAGCTATTTACTTTAAAAATTAAGAGGATTTCACAAGAAAAACAAAAATTGGAAGGATGTCACAAGAAAAAAACTGAGCAACACGGACAGAAAAGCAAAAAACCAAATGAAACTTTTCCCTAAATTTTGTAAGTGCTGCGGATTAAGTGGCACACACCTATAAACCCAGCAGCTTAGGAGGCTGAGGCAGGAGAATTGCGAGTTCAAGGCGAGACTCAGCACCTTAGCGAGGTCCTAAGCAACTCAGTGAGACCCAGTGTCTAAATAAAATATAAAAAAAGGCTGAAGACATGGCTCAGTGCCTGGGTTCAATCCCTGATACAAAACAAACAAACAAACAAACAAACAAACAAAAAACCTTTAAGTGCCTATTTTAAGAACAGAATGATTTTGGATGGCAAAAAATCCAAGATCACTGCTGTTTAAGGGATAGTTGAGTTTACCCCACTCAGCTTCCCAGTACAGAATCTTAACTAGTCTTCCATAATAAACTTCTACCCAGTGCAGAGTGTTCCTGTTTCAGCTAGGATGCTTCAGGGCAGAACGATCCACCAAAATCATCTATATCACCTAGGCATGTATTTACATTTTCAATAGCAAAACCAATGCCACTTACTGGTGTGTCCACATTTGGACCAAGGTCAATTTCTTCACCTTCCATCAAGTATTTTCCCCAGTCAAAATCATCTTTCTTTTCTGAAATACAACAGAAGAATCTCTTCAGCTTTATCATAAATATCTGGGAAAAAACCATAAAACTGCAGGAAAAAAGTCTAAACAAACCTCAAAATAAAACACACTCAGGAAACAAAACTTCAAAACTTTGAAACAAACTAATGCTCTAATACATTTTACATTTTAATTAACTCATTCTCAAAAGTGAATTTCTCTTTATGGAACAAAGGTAGTTTAACGTACAAAGTCAGAACTTGTATTTTAAGTGAAAATTTGCAATGGCATCCAAAGCAACAGAAATAGTTTCAGATTTTTACGACTTTTAATAAAATCTCAATGTCTAAGTAATTAAGCAATAAAATCAGTTTCTCTTTTATTTCTTATGTTAAACTATCTGGTAACATACCCACTTCTTTCTCTCTTGGTGTTTCCACATAATTGCTGTTTGAAGGAGAATCAGACAGACACAGAAGGAGTGACAGTATGGAATAATGTGCATCTGTCTTTAAAACAAAAAATGCAGAACATGAATCAATGAGGTTGGTAAGTGCTTTCTAAACTAGATTGAGTAATGAAAGATAACCCCATGATAGCTATGTCCCCAATTTTTTTCTGGTCTTAGAAAACAAGTTATACCTAAATAAATCCTAACCTCTATACATCTTTCATAACTCAAATGATTACACATAAGGAACTTCAAAGCCATCTAAGGTTCTATACAGCTAACAAGTATAAAACACCTGAATTGATGATAGTCTTTACTCCTAGAACAACCGTAGTGTCTTTATAGTGTGGTCAAAAATGGATTTTACTCTTGTGGCAATATGCATCATGAAGCTTAAAACATATCCAGTAGTTTTAACATATATGTGATATATTTTATTTAACCAGTGTCCTATTAATAACATTCAGATTTTTTCCCAATCTTTTGCTATCCCTAACTTAGGTTGCTTCATAATTATGAGTTTATCTATATCACAAATTCCTAAAAAATGAAACATTTAGCCAAAGAATATTTGCATTTGGAATTTTAAGGAATGCCAAAATAATCCCCATGAAAATTATTCATATTTGCATTTGGTATAAATAGTGCATGTATAATTGCAAAGAATATAAAATTAAAGATTTCCCATGCCAATTATTAATCAGATAAGTGAAAAATATTACCTCGGTGTTGCTTTAGTTTGCATTTGTTTTATAAACTTAAAAGTCATTTCATTTTGCTTTACTGGAAACCAATTTATGCTGTGCCTAAGAATTTTCAAGTCTCAATACTTTTTACTTATAATTTACAATGATTCTCATACATCATTCTATTTACTTTATGAAAAGTACTGTCTTTGTATGCTGGCCTTTTTGTGAAGAGCTAAACATGAAAAAGCAAATTTTTTCTTTGTTCAAGTTTTTATCTGATTGTCAGTCTTTCCTTATTTACAAGACTGATTTCTAGATTGAGCTATTAGCTGTGCAGAAAACAGTGAACTCAGCAGGCCTGAGTTATTGAAGCCTTGTACATTCCCTAAAAGGTCTTATTTCATGAATGGCCCTTGCCTGGTTTCTGTTGACCAAGCTCTTAAAATGTTAGAACTAATTAGAGTGTTGTAAATGTCAGGTATTGAACCATGCTATACCAATTTTCTAGATAGTTCATGCAAATAATGTGATTTATGAGGAACATCTGCTTTCTTTGGGGAATGTGGAACTTTGACAATTTCAGTCACACAGGCATTACATGCTCAGATGAGTCCCCATCCCTCCTGGAAATCCCTAGAATCTGGGCTCAGGTAGCCAACACTGGGCACTTGACATGGCATGTAAGGAGAAAATGTGCAATCATCTGAACCAGACTCAGACATGGTATTATCAGATCAGAAATTTAAAATAACTATAATTAATATGCTAAGGACTCTGATGGGAAAAGTGAATTATAAAGAAAGATTTGAATAGTGATCACTAAAGTCTGGGAAAGGTGTGGGGAGATGCAAGGGTAGAAGAAGGAAGGTTGGATATGATCAATGAATGCTGTATGCATGTATGGAAATATCACACTGAATCCCATTAATACGTATGATTAGGTACATACTAGTTTTCAAAGAAGAACTGATAGGTAATACAAGCAGGGAGATGAAAACTCGGTAAAAGAATCAAAATGAAGAGCTACACATAAAAAACAAGGCAAAAAGGGCTGGGGTTGTGGCTCAGTGGTAGAGCACTTGACTACCATGTGCAAGGGCCTGGGTTTGATCCTCAGCACCACATAAAAATAAATAAATACAATAAAGGTATTATGTGCAACTAAAAAATAAAACTTAAAAAAAAGGCAAGAGAAATGATGAATGCCTTTTATGGGCTCATCAGTAGACTGGCACAAGCAAAGAAAGTGAGCTCAATCATATGTCAACAGAAATTTGCAAAATTTAAAAGTAAAGAGAAAAATGAATGAAGAAAACAGAACAGAATATACAAGAACTGTGGGACACTACAAAAGACATAATATATCTGTAATGGGAACATCAAGAAAAGAAAGATAATAAATATTTGGAGAATGATAGTTTTCCCAAATTAAAGACAAATACCAAACCACAGAAGTTCAGAAAACACCAAGAAAGATAGATACAAAATATCTACAACTAGGCATATAATATTCAAATTGTAGAAAGTCTAAGAGAGAAGGTGCTCCTAAGAGGAACAAGAATAGGCATTACATTAGAATTTTCTTCAGAAACCGAAGAAGTAAGAAAGAAGTGGAGTGAAATACTCCAAGTGTTAACAAAAAAAAAAAAAATTCCCTAGAACCCAGAATTCTGTATCCAGCAAAATTATCCTTCAATAGTGAAGCAGAAATAAAGACTTTCTTAAATAAAAAATTGAATGTATTTGTGCTAGTAGACATACCTGGCAAGAAATGTTAAAAGAAATCTTTCATAGAGAAGGAAACGATACAGGTTGGAAACTTGAATTTATATAAAGAATTGAAGAGCATTAGAAAAGGAAAAAAAATGAAGGTAAAATAAAATCTTATATTTTGCATATTCTTAGTTGATCTAACAATAAACAGGTGTAATCCCAGAGGCTTGGGAGGCTGAGATAGGAGAATCACAAGTTCAAAGCCAGCCTCAGCAAAAGTGAGGCTCTAAGCAACTCAGTGAGTCCCTGTCTCTAAATAAAATACAAAATAGGGCTGGGGATGTGGTTCAGTGGTTGAGTGCCCCTGAATTCAATCCCTGGTACAAAACAAAACAAAACAAAGAAACATTATTATTATTATCACTTTTGGTACTGGGGGATGAATCTAGGGTACTTTACCACTGAGTTACATCTCTAGTTCTTCATATTTTGAGACAGGATCTTGCTAATTTGTCCAGGCTGGCCTCGAACTTGCAATCCTCCTACCTCAGGCTCCCCAATTCCTGGGATGACCAGGAGTGCATTACTGCATCTCGCAGTTTGTTAGAAATTATAATGGCAAAATTATTCAAAACAAAAAAATGATTTTTGCTTCTCAGTGAAATGAATGATGGTTATATTATAAGGGATGGGAGGAAGAAACTATGATTATTCTGTACAAGGCACCTACACTACCTGTGAAAGTAATATAATTATTTGAAAATAGATATAAACTAGAGATGACTATCAGAATGATAGCTGGAAAAAGAAGAAAGATCTGCCAAAGGAAACTAAATAATAAAAATGAGAGCAGAGTCAGGTGCAATGGTGCACACCTATAATGCCAGGAAGTTGAGACAGGAGGATCACAAGTTTAAGACCAATGTCAGCAACTTAGGTCCTAAGCAACTTACTGAGACCCAGTCCCCAAATAAAAAATAAAACGAGCTGGGGATGTGGCTCAGTAGTAAAGTTCCCCTGGGTTAAATCCCCAGTACCCCTTCCCAAAATAAAAAAATAAACAAATAAATGAATATATATATATATATATCATGTATATATTCATATATATGTATATATTATATGTTTGTATGTGTGTATAAATATAAACACACACAAACATGAATGATGAGAGAGAGAGAAAGAGCAGATATCAATGAAATTGAAAACAGGATATCAATTTTAAAAGTCAACAAACCAAAAGCTGGTTCTTTGAAAAGATTAATAATATTGATAAATGTCTAGCTATGCTACCACAAGAAGAAATAGAGTACTAAAATCAGAAATGAAAGAGAGGCCATCACTCCTGATTCTACGGACATTACAAAGGATAATAAAGGAGTATTATGAATACTCAATGCCTACAAATTTGATAATTTAGATAAAATGGATCAATTCCTTGAAAGATGCAATTTACCAAAATTCACACAATGATTAATAAATCTTAGAAGATATTCGTATCTATTAAAGAAATTAAATCAACAATTTGAGAACCCTCTAAAACAATGCACCAAGCCACATGGTTTTTTTTTTTTTTTTTTTAAGAGAGAGTGAGAGAGATAGAGGTAGAGAGAGAGAGAATTTTTTAATATTTATTTTTTAGTATTTGGCGGACACAACATCTTTGTTTGTATGTGGTGCTGAGGATCGAACCCGGGCCGCACGCATGCCAGGCGAGCGCGCTACCGCTTGAGCCACATCCCAGCCCCTCACTGATGAATTCTACCAAACATTTAAAGAGGACTAAAACCATATCTCTATAATCGAAAAGTAGAAGCAAAGGGAATCCTTCTTAGCTGAATTTACGAGACCAGTCTGCTGGGACTAAAAAGAAAAAAACAGCTAAAAAAGGGATTTCCCAAGACTGCTATCATTAAAAGCCATAAACTGGATGGTTTAAAGCAAAAAGCACTTATTTTCTAACAGTTGTGGAGGTTGAAGTCTGAGAACAAGGAGTTGGTAGGGCCATGCTCCCTCTGAAGTCTGCAATGAAGGATTTTGCTTGCTTCTCCCTAGCTTCTGGTAGTTCTGGTGATTGCTAACATTCCCTGGCGCTTGCAGAAGCACCATTCCAACCTCTGCTTCCACTGTCAGATAACGTTCTATGTGTGACTGTGTCCAAGTTTCCCTGTTTTCATAAGAACACTAGTTATGAGGTTAAGGCCTACTCTAATCCAGGATAACTCCATTCCAACTTGTTACATCATCATAGACCCTATAATAAGACCACATTCATAGGTACTAGGTGATAGAACTTTTACATATCTTTTTGGAGGACACAATTCAACCCATAACAGATGGCAGTACTTTCTAAATTAATCTAGAGATTCAACACAATCCCTACAAAAATTCTAGCAGGCTTTTTGTAGAAATTTAGAATATTTTAAAATGTACATGGAAATTCAAGAGGTCCATTAGAGATAAAACAATTTAAAAAAAGAACAAAGCTGGAGGATGTTTGTTTATTTTGGTATTGGGGATTAAATCCAGGGGCACTTTACCACTGAGCTACAGCCCTAGTCCTTTTTATTTTTCTATTTTGAGACAGGATCTCACCAAATTGCTGAGGGCATTGCTAAATTGCTGAGTTTGGTCTTGAACTTGGCAATCCTCCTGCCTCAGCCTCCCAAGTTGCTGGGTTACAGGCATGTTCCAGAGTTCAGCAGCGGGTGCTAAGTCTAAACATTTATGTTCCCCTAGAAATTCGTGTTGAAATCCTAACCTCCACAGTGATGGGATTAGGAACTGGGGCCTTTGAAAGCAGAGCCCTACTGAATGATATAGTGTCCTAATAAGGAAGGCTCTGGGAATCCTTCAGCTCTTCGGTCAGGTGAGAGCACAGAGAGAAGATGACTAACTGTAAACTGGGAAGCAGCCTCACCACATACCAAATCTGCCACGGCCTTGACTTATATTTCTACCCTTCAGAACCACGAGAAATCAATTTCTATAGTTTATAAAAGCCACCTAGTCTATGGTATTTTGGTATAGCAGCCTAAACGAATTAAGATAGAGGACTTACATTACCCAAGTGAAAAACTTACTATGAAGTAATAAAGATAGGTATACAGAACAATGAAACAATTCAGAATCCAGCAATACATCTTTACTTCTGTGTGTGTGTATGTGTGTGTGTGTGTATGTTCCTGGGGACAGAAATTTGGGCATGCTAGGCAAGTGGCCTACCACTGAGCTACATCTCCAATCCCTATCCTTATATTTAAAAAAAAATTTTATTTTGTTTTTGACAAAAGTGCCAAATCAATTTGATAGATGATAACCTTTTCACAAATGGTACTGGGAGAATTGTATAATCATATGTAAAAAAGAAAAGAAAAAGTTAATTTAGACCCTTTTCTCACAACATATACAACAAATGAACTCAAAATGGATCACAGACCTAAATGCAAGTGCTAAAAACATAAAACTTCAAAGTTGATGGCTTTGGGTTAGGCTAAGAGTTCTTAGATAAAATACCAAAAGCATAAGCTATAAAAGAAATTAACAAAATGTACTCCATTAAAATTTATAACCTTTTTACTTAAAAAAAAAAGTGAAAAGACAAGTTAGAAACTAGAGGAAAATATTTATAAATAATTTTTCTGATAAAGAACTTGCATGAAAAATATGTAAGCAACTAGCAACTCTGATAAGACAATAAGACAAAATAATCCATTTAAAATTGGGCAAAAGACTTGAATGGACACCACAGGAAACATACATTTGGCTAAAAAGCTCAAAAGTTCTTGAAAAGATTTTCAACATCATTAGGTATTAGGGAAAGGTAAATCAAACCACTTGAGATAGTACTACATACTCCTAGGGAGTAATATATTGTCTCTCAAAATAAGAGACAATAACAAGTGTAGGAAGGATGTGGAGAAATTGGAACCCTTATACATTTCTAGTAGAAATGTAAAATGACAAGATAACTTTGAGAAACAATTTAGCAGTTTCTTAAAAGGTTAAACCTAAGCTTACCATATAAACCAGCAATTCAAACAAAAAGGAATGAAGTCATATGTCCCACACAAAGTACCCCTGGGTTCAATCACCAATACCAAAAATAAAAAGTATTGGGGATGTGGTTTAATGGCAGAGAAGATCTGGGTTCAATTCCCAGGACTTAAGAAAAAAAAAAAAAAGTTAACCGGGTCTTACTGTAATGTTTTTTACTTTATAAACCTCTTAATTTTTTCTAATGGACTGTTTTGTAGTGACACTTAGCTTAAAACACAAATATAGTTCACTACCTTACAAAAGTTTTTTCTTTCTTTATATCCTAAGTTTTTCTTTTTTTTTTTTTCTGTTTCTATTTTGACAGGGTCTTAGCCTCCCAAGTCACTGGAATTATAGGTGTGTACCCCAATGCCTTCAAGGTCAACTTATTATTTTTTGAGTGGGGGGTACCAGGGATTAAACTTAGGGGCACTTGACCATTGAAGCACATCCCCAGCCCTATTTTGTATTTTATTTAGGGACAGGGTCTCATTGAGTTGCTTAGCACCTTTCCGTTGCTAAGGCTGGCTTTCAACTAGCCATCCTCCTACCTCAGCCTCCCTAACCGCTGGGATTATAGACGAGAGCCACGTGCCTGGCTGGGTCAACTTATTATTGAGGAAACTTTTTTCTATAAATGTAGTGTAGCCTAAATGTACTGAGTGTATAAAGTGTACAGTAGTGCACAATCATGTCCTAGGCCCTCATTTCACTCACCACGCACTCAACTTATACACTCAGAGCAATTTTCAGTCCTATAAGCGCCATACATGGCAAGTGTCCTATAGAAGTGTGCCATTTTAAAATTTTTATATATATTTCTTCTGGACCTTTTCTTTGTTTAGATAAGTTTAGATACATAAAAACCATCATGACAAGTTACCTACAGTACATACACTGACATGCTGTACAGGTTTATAGCCAACAAACTATAAACCATATCGCCTATGTGAGCAGTAAGACAGTACCACCTAGGTTACTTTATTCTGCAACACTCACACAATGACAAAACTACATAAAGATGCATTTCTCAAAATGCATCCCTGTCACTAAGGGACACGTGTCTGTATTTTAATTTAAATTAAACTGAGATTGAAACATTTGCTGTGTTGGAATGGGGATATTAATAATACATATTGAAAATGGTCTTCCATGGGATAAACACTGCTTAGGACATTGTACGTGCTACAAAAAAGCTTGCCATTATATTCATATTATAGTGTAATGACACCTAAATTATTCCATTCTACAGTGTTATGGTTTGTTTCTTAATTGTCCCCTAAAGTCATGTGTTGAAGGCTTGGTCATCTGCCTATGGGGTTTATGGAAGGTGGTGGAACTTTTAGGAGGTGGGCCCAAGTAGAAGGTAGTTTGGTTATTAGGGGCATGCACTTGAAAGGGATACTGGGGCCCTAGGCTCTTCCTCTCTTTCTCTCTGATTCCTGGCCACAAGGTGAGTAGCCTCCTCTATCAGGTGCCATTTGCCTATCACATACCGCCTTGCTACATGCCCAAAGGCAATAGAGCCAACTGATCATGGACAGAAACCTCTGAAACTGTGAGCCAAAATAAACCTTTCCTCCTTTAAACTAAATTTCTCAGTTTTTCTGAGAAAATTTCCACAGCAATAGAAAGCTGACTAACACATAAAGTCTACTTAGGAAGTAAAATTAGTCAAGGTATCTAAAAAAGATCTACCTCCTCTTCCCAAGTGGTCCTTAGACTAAAGTGCATAGAAATGCGTTTCTAGTCCTTAGGGCATGGATTCAAAACACTTCCACTCCCTCTTTCTTCCTGAAATACCTTTAGAACCATTTCCTTAAACTGATAGACAATTTTTAAAAAATTATATAAAAAAATTATCTAAAGCTCTCTCTCTCTCTCTCTTTTTTTTTTTGTGGTGCTAAGGATCAAACCAGGGCTTCAAGTGTACCAGGGAAGCCCTCTACCACTGACATCTCAGTCTTAAATCTCTCTTCTGTATGATACCAATTTCCACAGTGTTAACAAATAAGAAAGCCTATCAATAATAGAAAATTCATCAGAGGTTATTGTGAAGATTAAATGAGTGAATATGTGAGCAGTAAAAAGGTTAACTGAGTAGGTATAGGTTGCTTAACCCCTTAATATCCCGCATCCCCGATGATCCTTGATGACCCTAGATGGGCTCCTGGCAGATACCTATTTTTTTTTTTTTTTTTAATATTTTTAGTTGTTGATGGACCTTTATTTTATTTATTTGTATGTTGTGCTAAGAATCGAACCCAGTGCCTCACGTATGCACTGAGCCACAACCCCAGCCCCCCCTATTAAACCCTCAGAGGACTCTGCTAAGAAGAGTGTGTCTGCCAAAAGTTTGGACCATGCTCTATCAGTGTGACCACAGTTAATGCTAACAATGTGAATTAATGTAAATGTCTGTTTCATGTGCCAGAGGTCCTCAGTTTGACTTCTGGGGGGGCTGGAGTCTGAGTAGTTAAGGGCAGCCATATGGGCACTGCATGCTTCCAAGACCGACCTCAATAAAAATCCTAGACACCAAAGCTCAGGTGAATGCCCTGGTTGGCAACAAATTACACATGTTGTCATGCACTGTTACTAGAAGAATTAAGTGCATCCCTGTGTGACTACTGGGAAGGGACACCTGAGGCTTGTGCTGGTTTCTGCTCTATGTACCTTGTCCCTTTGCTGAGTTTATCCTGAATCCTGTCACTGCAATAAGCCATTAAAAACAGTGAGGATATCAGCTTTTGAGTTCTGTGAATACTTCTAGCAAATCATTGTTCTTTTGAGGCCCAATGACACACTATCAAAGTGTATCTGGCATCTACTAAATAAGAATATGCAGTTGTTACCAAATGCCGAGAAGCCATTTGGAAGTTTTAAGATATCCAGAAAGTGCTATGATTTGTACCAATCATGGATCTTGATAGCCACGGTACGTTGAAGGCAAGAAGATGAATAAATAAGAAGACGCTTTTTCTTTTCATAACAAACCTGAAGCAAACTTATTTGATGGCAACATTTAAGTCAACTTCCAGGAGATCACGTTCTAGCTAGTGGATAATACTAAAATAGAATGAATGATTAAATATTAACAAAAATAAGCTGACAATAATCAGATTGAAAAAATGTGAAATATACAATGGAGATCTCATAATTGGAAGCATACCTTTATTTCTTTTATGCTGGGAAGTGATGAATTTAGAAATTCCTCAGTTAATTTCTTCCAACTAGCAGCTTTGCTGAGATCAGAATGAATAATAAATTTTTCATAAATTCTAAAATATATAAAAAATATAAAAATATATTAAAAAATTCACTAAAGGTTATAAAGACATTAACAAGAAGATTAATAAGAAATTCACATATTTCTGAATATATATATCTATATATACACATACATATAGAACCAACTTACCCTTCTATTGTCTTTTCTATTTTGTGGCTGTTGACATCCAAGAAACGATGAAATCTAATAAAGATAAAACGTGATTTTTTTTATGCCAATTTTGTCATACAGCTAAGAAGAGTCACCTCATAGCTCTCCATATCCCCATGTATGCTATATTTTGCTATACATTTCCAGCGTGCACCTCTATCACCACTGCTCCACCATCAGGCAGGCAAACAATCACCATGTCTGAGAGAATACTCAGGCATTCTTTCCTCAGGACACAGGTGCACTCCGAGCCTCCCAACCCCGTCTTCTGGTTCCTTTGTCTTCACAAAAGACCCTGTGTCTAAGTGTCTAAGTCCAGTAAAGTATATTCTTTATCAGGTATTCCCCTGCCCAAAATTTTTTTCTGGTACCAGGGATCGAACCCAGGGGCACTTAACAACTGAACCACATCTCCAGCCCCTTTTAAATGTTTTTTTTTTTTTTTTAAATGGAGACAGGGTCTCAGTAAGTTGCTAAGGGCCTTGCTAAATTGCTGAGGCTGGCCTTGAACTTGCCTCAGCCTCCTGAGCTGTAGGGATTACAGGTGTGCACCGCCACACCCAGCTTGTTCCTGATCTTTATAATGCCAGAGTGAAACTTAAGGACACCTTCCCTGAGTGATTTTGTTTTTTTTTTTTTAAGAGAGAGAGAGAGAGAATTTTAATATTCATTTTTTCAGTTTTCAGCGGACACAACATCTTTGTTTGTATGTGGTGCTGAGGATCAAACCCGGGCCGCATGCATGCCAGGTGAGCGTGCTACCGCTTGAGCCACATCCCCAGCCCTGAGTGATATTTTTTAATGCACAAAACAAAATGCAAAGAAAACCAAGTGTACTGAAATATAGTTATCAAATTTTAAAAACTCTATGATCTATTAACAGATCTATTTATTGATTAAGTCACTAAATAATAAGATCTAGAAATAAGTCCAGGGTCTATCATTAAAGTAACAACAAACAATATTTAGAAATACCTGCAACAACTGTAATATGATATGAAAATAATGTGATTTCTACTGGTGACAAAGTCATAGATAAACTGATACCACTAAGGTTTGTTGTCTTCGTTCGTAATTGACAAAAAAATTGATGAAAAAAACTTACTTTTCAGTCCCAGGTTAGTGTGATTTTTTTTTCCCCTCATCTGAATTCACAAATACCTGAATTCTCTTCAGACTCTCAGGTTAAGAATCCCTACTATACATCATAATGTTACTAACTTTTGTCTGTCTTTCTTAAGGATAGAGGGTATCCCTCTTTCATTTCTGACTTTTTAAGGGCTCAGAAAATGATCACAATTTTAACAATGTAAACATGATGCATTCATTTTTCTTCTATTAAAGCACCACTGCTTACTTAAGTCTGGTTTTCCATTGTTTAGTAGCAAAGCCAGCAATCTGTACTTAAAAGTAGATTCCACTATTTAATAACACATCTAATTCTATTCCAGAAAATGGCTGGGTGTAACACCACTTTACCTATTATAGTTTAGTTTCTCAACCTATAAAAGAAAATAGTAACTTCTTATGTCTCTCCCAATTCAAAAATGATGATTATTTGTTCACTGACATTTAAAATATTAATGGAAAAATTTCTTGGGAGGCAGCATTTAAGTTTCTGTGCTAGATGAGCTATTTCAAACTTTGCTATTTTTATAAATTACATTTAAGAAATGAGCTTGTTCCATTTATTTATTTATTTTATGTGGTGCTGAGGATCAAACCCAGCGCTCTACTGCTGAGCCACAACCCCAGCCCCAGAAATGAGTTTATTTCATAAATTTGACTTGCTTTATATGAATCTGAAAGCCCTCAATTCTCATAAACCAAGTAGGTAATTTATGTAACATTTTGAAAAACTATTCACTATTCAAGAAGATTTTTGTGAGCTGGAGGTGAATCTCAGTAGTAGAGCTTGAGCTTAGCATGCATGAGGCACTAGTTTCAGTCCCCAGCATATAGAATTGTTCTTACTGAAATTAAATAGATAGAATGTTAACATTGACATTCTTTTAGCAATAATTCCATTATGGTAATGATCAAACAGTACTGTCTAATTTACATTTTCCATAAAGGAAAATAGGAGATGCGACTCCACCTATCTAAAATGTATAAATCTTAAGAACTACTTATAAGAGAACCCATAATTAAAAACTGTAGTAATGACTTAGCACAGGATGTGCCAATAACTGTTCTTGGTTACTTACATTCTAGCTGGAGATGGAGATGTGGGAGACAACAGTAAACAGCTCCAAAATCCACTTACCCATCCATTCAAAACAATTATTTTTGATGTGCAGCGTACTGCGCTAAGCGCGGTGCGGACAGCAGGGAAGAGAACAGAAGCAGACCCACTCGCTTGAAGCGCGACCAATGCTAACGGGGCCCACACTTCATGACCCATTCACCGTTTAAACTGCGTGTCATCCGCGAAAGGGACCCAGGAGACAATTGGGCGCCGCGCAACAGCAGCCGCAGTAAGCAGCAACGCCCGCAAGGGTTCCCCTAGAGGGACGCGCCCACTCCACCCTCCACGGTCCAGCCGCCCAGCCGAACGCACCGCCGCGACCCAGCAGGCGGCCCCGGCGACGGCGGGCAGCCAGGACCCAGGAGCAGGGCTCGCATGCCGCACACCTGAAGTTGGACCAGGCGAAGTTCAGGGCCAGCTGGAAGTTGGGATCTGCCTCGTCATGGAGGCCAGACACACGCCGGATGAGCTCTCGCACGTCCCGCTCTTGCTGTTTGTCCAACCGGGTCCAGGCCGGCACCAGCCGGGCCATATCCCAGGCGTTCCGGCGGCGCCAAGTCTCTACGAAGTAGCAGACGTTCTCGCGAGAGTTTGGCTCGCGCGTGGCGCGGCGCCTACGCGAGGTTGATACATTCTCGCGAGAATTCGCGCTCCTTTGGTATTGGTTCTTGGAGCTTTCTTTCTTTTCTTTCTTTCGTTCTAGGCTCGAAGGTTTTTTGTTTGTTTGTTTGTTTTTTTCTTTTTTATTTATGTTGGCGCGTCTTTAAAAGGAGGGCACCCGAATGTGCATGTTCTAGTCGCCCGTGGTAAATTTTAAGTAACCAGATTAATGAGGGTCTCTGCCTATCTTGATTGATGGTTTAAATTCTGGTGTATTTTGACAGCACTCAAGTTAGTTTTACAGTTCGGTGTATGATTCGCACCTTCATACCTTATTGCCATGACCTAGTTAGTTGTTCATCCTTCTCCAGCTTTCAGTTTCTTCTACTATATATAAATGATCTTTCCGTGTCATCATCCACAAGGGCCACACTCCATGGTCTACGTATAGCAGGTGTTAGCAAAGCGGATTGTCTTGGCATTCGCGCTGAGTGCTGTAGCCTGGCTCCTGCGCTCACCTATTCTTTGGCTTCTAGCTCCAAAGTGGCCAGAGGCAGATTTCATAATCCTATCTGGCTAAAGGTGGAGAATCATCTTGTGTGATGAAAAATGTACCTCTAAGTTATTCCCCTTAACTGCTGCTTGTAACCAACCATTCCAAAATCTATTCCATATTTTCTTTTTTTCTCTTTTGGGAATCTACTACGTTTTCACGTAGTTTATTGCATCTAATTACTGTAGCAGTACATAGCTGATATCACCTAAAACGTAGACTGCACAATTGCACAAATGCATAAGGAGAAAATTGTAGGGTAGAAATGATTCTACCCATAGGAATTCATACTCTCTCCCTGGGCAGTGTTTTCTACTCCGGTTTCAACTATCAACCCTATGTTTGTAACTCTCAAATCTGTATGTGCAACTGTGTATTTCTTGGCAACCCAATCCATAATCTAAATACTGCCTGTATATCTCCCCAGATCGGTGGGTTATATGTATGCATAGATAGTAAATTTATTATTTGTTTGCTCTTCCCTCCTGATTCACATCCCCAGCTCTTTTTTTATATTTTATTTAGAGACAAGGTCTCCCTGAGTTACTTAAGTTGCTGAGTCTCACCTTGAACTTGCAATTGTCCTGCCTCAGCCATCTGAGTGCTAGGATTACAGGCATGTGACACTGCACTTGGCTTATCTGTTTCTCTTACTAGAATGTCAGTTCCATGAATCTTGTTCCTAACTAAGCCCTGGCACTTATAATCACAGCTGAGACTCAATAATTTATGAAGGAATAAATGAATGTCTACCAGGTTGGCTGAAACATGCAACTGAATTCATTCTCTTGCCTCCCTTTCAGCCTCTTCCTCCCTTTCCATTTTTTTTTTTCTTTTTTCGTGATGCTAGGGATTGAACCAAGGGCCTTGTGCATGGAAGGCAAGCACTCTACCAACTGAGCTACATCCCCAGCCCTCAGTTTCCAGTCTTGAGATATGTACCACTATATCCCACAGCAAACAGTTAGAAACTTGAGAGTTAAGCCAGACCCCTCTTTCCTCTCAGTAATGATTTGATTTCTGAATCTTCTCTTAAGTCTACTTTCTCTTCTCCACTGCCTTGATTCAGATCCCTGACTCCAGGACACCTCATTACCTGTGTCTCTGACTCTATCACTTTTCACACCAGTTCATCCAGTCTCTCAAAGTCAAAACTGATGTCAAACTGAGCTTGATGGAGGCAGGAGGATTGCAAGTCCAAAGCCACTTAGCAAGGCTCTAAGCAACTTAGTGAAACCCTGCCTCAAAATAAAATATAAAAAGGGTTGGGATGTGGCTCAATAGTAAAGCACCCTTGAGTTCAATCCCTGATAAACACCCCCATCCCCCTATGATGTCACTTTACCACTTCCTTGTTTGCAGAAAGATTTTTAGACTTCAGCACTAGTCACATTTGGGAATGGATAATCCTTTCTTGTGGAAGGCTGTCTTGTGATCTGTAGGACATTTACCGGCTTCTTTGGCCTCTACTTGATTCTAATATGACTCCTGCCAGCCTCCTGTGTGAAAACAAGATGTCTCCAAACATTGAAAAATGTCCTCTGGGGGCAAAATCACCCCTAATTAAGACCCACTGGCCACAGCATATATTTCAAACTCCTGAGTATTTAGAATTTAGTATTCAGGGATTTTCCTGACCTTGCCTTATCTAATATGCTTCATCTTTTTTCCAAATACTCCTATTCCGCAGAACTATTGAAAAGTCATTTTCAAGGGTAAGAAAACTCAATATCATAAAAATGGCAGTTCTCTTCAGATTAATCAGTGTAGTTTCACTCAATCTGCAAAACAAGCTGTAGGTGATCTGGCCTCCTGATAACCCTTGACTTTGAGTCCTACTCAAAAGGGAGAAGGAAAAGTCAGCAAAAAGATCAAGGTTGCTAGGACAGCTGTGGCCTTGAGAGGCTTTGCCCTTGAGAGGTCACCTGTCTAAAGTCTGTTACTGAATGCCCAGTGGTTAAGGCAAGGCCAGAGGGAGATCCTCTGCAGATGACTGGGGTGTTGGATCCTTCCAAGGCATGTAGTTCTGTAGGCTTTTTTTTTCCTGTAGGTTCTTAAGTGACCATATGCTGATGAAATTTCATCCCCATTGCAAATCCAAAGTGATAGAAAACGCTGAGACCCGGTGAGGGAAAGTCCATGTTATTGAGTCCACATATAGCCTCTATCCCTTCCACTATGGCCACTTTGTTCATGGTGCCATTGAACAAACCCACAGTGGACAGGGAAAGAGCTGTGGCACCCAAGACTGGATCACCTCATCCACCTGATAACTGAGAACTGCTTCTGCAGTGGTGCCCTCTGGCTGGCATTTAGTGGGCAGGCTTCCAATGTTGCACAGTGAGGTAAGCATTGAAATTCTCCTTCTGAGGATGAGTAGAAGCTCCATACAGCATCCTCATCTGCCACAGACACTCCAATACCAGAGGTCTTCTGACTCTTTAGGCCTAAATGGCAGAATATCTTACGCCATAGTACCGACCTGTTCTAGAGCCCTTTGCTACTCTGGGCCCCATTCAAAACCAGCAGCAATATGACACACCCAGCAAATGCATCAGATAGGCACACAACATGTTCTATGCATTGCCTCAAAAACCCAAAGAGACCCATTAACCAATAAGCCTCTTACTCCATGATGGATTATGCAAGGTGAAGCAACACATTTCTCATCTTAGAGGGATATCCCAACATGTCCCAGGCTGCTAAAATTAAAAAAAAAAAAACAACCTTGTGTGGCAGCTCCCTGAGATTCCAGATGTTGGAGGGGGGGTTCCTCTCTCCTTCTGGCCAGCATGAGTCCTTCAGTGCTTGCTAGTTCCTACTCATAACACAACAACCATCCATGAAGTTCTGTCAAGATGATCAGGGACTCACAGGACATGACAGCATACCTGGAAATCTCTGAGGTAATGCAGTAAAAATGTACCATAGTTTCCTCAGAGACAAAAGTGAATGAATGTCTTTGATTATCTATATTGATTGAGATGCAATAGAATGAATTTTTTCAAGGGGTTCTTAAGCTTGTGTCACACAGCTTGATCTAACAAAACTGCTAAGTCTCAGCCCCAGACTATTTAATTCATATCACCTCTTTGCTTTCTCCTTTTGCTAGGCTGGAACTATGGTGTGCTGGTTGGAGTTCCAGTAGCCTCTTTGTATCACCTGCCGAAGATGGCAGAGCAGAAGAAATATCTTTAATGATTTTGTGGAGCTATACCAATTCCCTAAACTCCCTAACCCCAGATGCTTTCATGTGAGAAATACCAGCCTCCTTGGTGTTCCTTAGAAATGATAAGCAAGTTTGGTCCTCAGGCTTGATCCCCATTCCTGGAACACTGTGCCCTGGATATCCATCTGGCTTGCTCCTTGACTTCCTTCAGCTCTTTGACAGAGTTGCACTAAGAACCTAAGGCGTCAGGGCCTTCTCTGACCAGCATACCTACAACAGCCTGCATATCCCCTAATATTCTATTGAATTTACCATCTGCCCTACCACATAGCTTTCCCTATTTGTTGCCTATCTCCTTCCACTAGAATGTAAGCTTTCCAAGGGTAGCAGGGTGGGCTATTCCAGTAACTGCTGTGTCTTTTGTCCCTAGATCAGCGCCTAACACATAGAAGGTGTTCAATAAATATTTGTTGCATGAATGAATGGATGACATGACCTAATGTGCAGGACCTGCATCCTCACCCGTCTGCCCTGGTGTAACGCTCATCAGGCCCAACAAAGGTCACTGCTGGTACCTTCTCCCCCTGTGGTCACCCAGGAAACAGGTGAGGACCCGGGCTGTCTGTCTGCAATGAGTGGGGCAGAGAGAGGGGACAAGGCTCTCTCCTGGCTCTGGTGGGCTCAAAAGGAGGAAAGCTACCCCATGGTTCCTTCCTCTCCCATCTCAGTTCAGAGGTGCACCGAGGACTGGGGATCCTTCCCAGGGTTTATCACATGATGACAGCCACAGATTCTGGAACCAAGTCTGTGCCCTTTCTGTGCCTAGATCAGTCAGCCCCAACAGATACTGGACACCTAGGAGTGCTGTAATGTGCAACTTTACGTATCAACTTAGGCCACAGTACCAGAAATGTGGTCAAACATTATTCTACATGTTTCTGTGAAAGTGGTTTTTAGATGAGATTAACATTTACATGAGCAGACTGAGCAAAACAGAGGACCCTCCATGAAGGAAGAAGGCCTTAAGGGAAAAATTACTGGTGCCCCAGGGAAATAGGGGATTTTGCCAGTCAATCCACCCTGCAGACTTTGGACTTGCCAGCCTCTAGAATCACAAGAGCCAGTTCAATGAAGTAAATCAATCTCTCAATCTCTCTCTCTCTCCCCCCCCCCCCCCCACACACACACTCATTCACACATGTGCATCTTGTCAGTTCTGTTTTTCTGGAGAACCCTGACCAATTCAGGAAATACTGGGAGTCCTGGGATCTCTGATGAGAAAACTCTACCAAGACCTCACTCGTGAAAAAGAGTCAATGAATGGACACGTCCTAGGAACAGCACGCACTCTGGCCCACTGGATCAAATCAGGAACATGAGGGACGCCGCTGGGCCTACTGCAGTGGAGGCCTCGGAGCATGGGGACAAAACACTGTGGCTTTATTCATTCCTGAATGAAGAACAGGCCTGCACCACAGAGGGAAGCCCGTTACCGAGGCCTGGTGGGGTGAGGCGGCCTTTGCTTCCAGGATGGCAGAGCGCCTCATGCAGGCGAGAGAGCAGGCAGCACTTTTCCAGTACACTGGCCAAAGCCAATGCGGTGACCATTCCCCTGGCAGTGTCCTGTAACAGATGAGGACAGGATCAGAGATGGAGCCCCTGGCCTACCCAACCAACACTCAGGCAGCCGCAGGGCCGGTCAGCACAGCTGGGCCCATTCAGGAGAGCACCATCAGAGTAACCAACACAGGTCTTCACAGATCAATAACCCTCCCCAGAAGCTGGAGAGAGCCAGGCAGGGGGCTTAGCTGGAGCTCTGGGCCCTCCCCACAGATGCAGACACCCAGAGGCACTACAAGGCTCAACAGTTTTCCTGACAGTGATCAACTCTCCCCATGTGAGTTTGGATTCATATCCTAGGTCTGCCAATTAGCCTGAAGCCAGACTGCCCATGTTCAAATCCTGGTTTTACCTATTGGGCCTGAGACCTTGGATCCCTCTAGACCTCAGCTTTCTCTTCTGTGAAATAGGCCTAATGACAACACTCACCATATAGGCTTGCTACAAAGGTAATGAGCTCACACAGAGAAAACTCAGAATAGTGCCTGGCCATAGCAAAGGCCTACAAAGTGGCAGCTATTACAACAATAACAAGCTGGGTGACTAGGGGCAATGTGGTTATTTGTTAATTGTACTGGGGCTTGAAACCAGGGGTGCTTTACCACTGAGCCATATCCCCAGCCCTTTTTACCTTCTTTTTTTTTTTTTTGAGACAGGGTCTCGCTAATTGCTTAGGGCCTCAAGAAGCTGCTGAGGCTGACCTTGAACTTGTGATTCTCCTGCCTCAGCCTCCCAAGTTGCTCGGATTACAGGGGTGTAATTACAGCAATGTGTCCACTGTGCCCAGCTTAGAGGTAATGCGTTTTCCCTCAGAATTCAACCCCTCGTCTGCCAATAGAAACAATAGTCCTAACCTCTCAGGGTCATGAGGACCTGAAATATTTGGATAAAATTCAAAGTGAAGCATCTAAGACAGGGATGTTGAACAAATGTTAACTTACTTCATTCAGTTCCACCTCAGTAAGAGTGAGCTTGCAGCAGAGAGGAGGAAAAGCTGTCCCTTGAGGGTCCACTCAATGGGAGCAGCCGGTCTGGACAAGATAGAAGAGAGATGCCTACACAGTGCAGAGAGGGCAGCATAGGAGGACAGCGGAGCAGAAAGGAGAGGACACCAGAGCTCTCGACCTGTGGATGGGAGTTCACTGGATGGGCATGGGATGCCTCTGTTATGTAAGTGGTCATGTGGGGCCCCCTGGGAAGCCAGCTTACAAAGGGCTTCAAGAAACCATGTTAAGGGGTTGAGGCCAAACTGAGGTCAGGTGGGGAGGGGGAAGAGTCTTCAGCAAGAGAGACCCATGGGTCTAGTCAATGCAGAGGCTCTCAGACTCCTGAGGAAACACTTCTCAAGGGCCCTGGGCCATGCAGAAGCCAGATGAGGTGGTACCAGAGCAGTTCTAAAACAATAACCACCAGGTCCATGGTAGGGGTGCCCAGACCTATGAAAATACCACTAGATCCCCTCATCCTCAAATTGGGAGCTGCACCTTCTGCTACTCCAGATGAAAGGGAGAAAGCGCAGTTACAAGATCCCAGCAGTCAAAAGAAGAAACACAAAGCACCCTGCTGTGAAGCCACCTGCACACAGACTGAAGGTACAGTGGGGTCAGTGATGTCCTCAGGCAGCCTTCCTGGCCCCAGAGAAAAGGCCTTCAGGGGGTCCTAAGCACCACCTGCCAGCTCTAAGGTTGCTTACCCAGCCTGCAGAGGCTTCCCCGAGGGGTTTTGGTCCTGAGGCCCATCCCAGCCTAGCCCCTTGCCCTCTCAAGATTCAGCACATTTGTGCCAGCCACTTGTGGCCCAGGGCATCCCATGACCTGTACACTGACACTTAATACTCAGGGACACCCTTTGTAGAGAGCAACATCCTTGCCTATTCTATTTTTATGTCACTTTTGAATCTCAAACTTAACAAATTTCTATATCACTGGGGAAATTTTAAAAAGGTCCATTAGCTAGGTGATGTGGCACAATCCTATAATCCCAGCATCTTGGGGAGGCTGAGACAGGAGGATGACAAGTTCAAGACCAGCCTCAGCAATTTAGTGAGGCCCTTAGCAACTTAGTGAGATCCTGTTTCAAAATAAAAATCAAAAAGGGGTGGGGATGTGGCTCAGTGGGTTAAAAAAAAAAAAAAGCCAATTAAAGCAAACTGACTCTTGTCAGAATTCATTAAACAATATCAAAGAGCCTTCTTTCTGGCATGCTGCAAACACAGATGGGATGTCCCCCTCCTCCATGCCACCATCAAGAAATCAGCATTGTTCCTTGTTGGACCAGGAGTTATACTGGCACTGCTGTTTCCTCTAAGACCTTGATTGCTTCCAAGACGAAGGTACATGGTGAATCAGCCAATCACTTTTCAAAAAACCATTAGGCAGACAGTCATCCTCCCACTTCCCAGTTGGCACAGCAGGGAGCTTCTCCATCTGGGAACTAGTGGCATTTCTTTCTGATGAGGGTCTGTCCTGTGCTCTGTAGGATATTTAGCAGCATTCCTCAGCTCTACCCACTGGATGCCAGTGTCCACCTCTGTGCCAACCAAAATTGTTTCCAGATGTTGCCAAAGTCCCCAGGATAGCATAGGTACCCTCAGTTGAGAATGCTTGTTTTGAGAATGAAAGGAGCTACCCTCTGCACAAACTGAGAAGGAACCTCAGAGTCCTTCCAAGTCCCCCACCTGCTGTGCTCCAATCCAGAGGGAAAGCTAGGGAAAGATGCATTCAGCAAGGGACAGAGCCCCAAGTGGGACAAGGACAGGGAAAGTGCACACCCAAGCCAGATCATGTAACTTAGTCCTAGCAAAGGGGAAGACAGCTCTCCTGCTTCTCTGGGGTGGGCTCCATCAACTCTGGAAGTGAGAGATCAAAGTGCACCATCTCCTCTGGAAGCTAAGCCCATCACGTCACTGGCCCTTCCTAGATCCTGACCCTGCTCCCCACACCATCCAGCAACAGGAATGGGAATCCACAGCAATAGCTGTTTTCTAGCTTTCCAATATGCCCCATCTGCCAGTGTGTCAGGGTGCAGACCCTCACTACAAACAGTGGGGGAGACGCTGAGGCCCAGAGACACAGGGCTAGCCCCAGGTGAATTAGTGGCAGAGCCAGGATTGAAACTAGGGATTTTTTTGCCACTAGAGCTTCAGGGGAGTCCAGCTGCCTTATGCTACTAAATAAAACAAAGGGAAAAGATCTGGGAGTGGAAATGGGGAAGTTTTGCATCCCCAGGGAGGTAAAGGTGGTGGGCTTTGAATCCCAAGGGAGCTGGACTACATTCCACGGCTGCCATCGGCTAGCTGTGTGATTCTGGTCAGCTACTTAACCTCTCTGGACCTCCAGTGGCTCATACATAAATGAGATCAATGGTACTATGGGAATTAAATACATCAAGTGATATGCACAGTGCCTAGCACATAGGAAATATGCCACCATGATAAATCCTTGTTATCTATGCAATTGTCTTCATCATGGATCTTCTTTTAGCTAAATAGCTTGCAGCTAGACTTCTGGTTCAAGATAGGGATTTGACTATACATTAGCTGTTTCCTTTTCTCTTATACTCCATAGCAATCTATGGAAGTACAATACAAATAAAAGGGAAAAGTCTACATCAATGCTAGAGAGAGGAACAGAAATCCTAAAGAAGGTGGGACTTATGTGGGGCCTTAGGAAGACATGAAGGATCCAGAATGGTGGGGAGGGGAAGGTGTGACAGGTGTATGACTGGGCAGAAAGAAGAAAGTGTACAAGTATCTGGAGTTAGCAGAGAGCTCTCCATTCTATAGATGGAGGAGGCCCCCCCAAAAGGCCGGTCAAGGTCAGAGTGTGGAATTAGACATCATTGGTTGAGCCAGGTTTTGGAGAAGGAGAAGGGCAGAGAAAAAAACATAACCATGGTCTGATTCTTTGGGACTCCAAAGCAAGTAAAGAGGACAAGACTACCTCCTACAGTCGCCTAGGCCACTGTCCATGGTCCCGGATGAAGATTTGCTGCTTCTACACCCTGGGACTCCTGGCCAGTCTTGTTGAGCAGTTCTATACCAAGCATAGCAAATAGCAATGAAGGTGAGAAATTGAATAAATGGAGAAACAGAGGCAAACAGGGTGGAATAATAATTACTGAGCAACTATAGGGAAAGAAAGAGGAGATGCTAGGATATGGTTTCCACTTAATTCCAGATACCAAGAAAGAAGACACAACTGACCATAGCTATCTGCATACTGAAGATCTGAAGGACAGTGAGAAAGGTATATATCACACAGTCCAAGCAGTGCTAATGTCCCCAGAACATGTTCTTGCAAGTCATAAACTGAACACCAGATGGGGCAAGAGAGCAAGACTGGTGATTAGATGAGTTACATCCAAATGCTTGGATTTTTGTTGTTTAAGTTCATCTTCTGTTCTGCTGCCCATTTTATGCTTTCTGGACTCCCTCAGAAGTGAGAATCATGCTGCACCCTTTGGAGAGACAAGGTGTGCCGTGGTTAAGAGCATAGGGCCTGGAGCGACCATCTGGGTTCAAATCCTGGCCCTGCAGTTGACCATCTGTGTGATCCTGAGTGCGCAAAGCTGTCTGGGCCTTGGTTTCTGCATCTGAAAGAAGGGGATGGTGAGAGTACCTGCCCCATGGAGGTGTAAAAGGGACCACATGGGAAGCACTCCAAGGGCAAGTGCTGCATGTGTAGCTGATGTCAGTGGGCCATTAGAAACTGATTTGGGTAATTGTCATCCAGAATGATAAAGCAGGAAAATGATGAGGTGGCCATACAGGCACACAGCGGGTCCAGTCTGAGAAGTAGGAGTAAAGACTGGAAAGAGATGAAAACACTGGGTACGGCTTTCAAGAAGGAAGGCGGCCGTGCAGGGTCAGGTGCTCATAGAGGCCATGGAAGGAGGTAGCAGAACAGTCCTTGCAGCAGGCCACCTGTCCTGCCTTGCCCTTTCCACAGGTGGACACAGCCTAAGAGCCTTGTTGATTACAAGCTGAAAGAATGAAAGTAGGCATACCTACAATGTGGCTGGCCCCTGCAGATGCTAAATAAATACAGTTGATCCTTGGTATCTGTAGGGGGACTGTTTCCAGGACCTTCTGTTATGGTTTGGCTATCAGGTGTCATACCCAAAGCTCATGTTAGAAAAATGTAGGAATGTTCAGAGGTGAAATGATTAGATTATTAGAGAGATTAATAATGGGTTAATAATTTAAATGGATTACTGGGTGGTAATTACAGGCAGGTGGGGCCTGGCTGGAAGAAGGAGGCCACTGAGGGCATGTCTCTGGGATTGTATTTTGTCCCTTGCTTCCCCTTCTCTCTTCCTGGCCACCAGGAGCTGAGCAGCTTTCCTCTGCCATGCCCTTCCACCTTCATGTTCTTCTCACCTTGAGCCCAGAGCAATGGAGTCAGCTGTCCATGGACTGAACCTCTAGAACAGTGAGCCCTTGATAAACTTTTCCTCCTCTAAGTTGTTCTGTTCAGGCATTTTGGTAACAGTAGTGAAGCCTAACTAACAGCCCTGCTACCCTTTTGATACCAAAAATCTATAGAAGCTCAAGTCCTTTACATAAAGTTGTGTAGGATTTGCATATATCCTACACAACCTTCCATTTAAATCATCTAGAAGACATAATACCTAATACAGTGTAAATGCTATGTACATGGTGGTACTGTATTGTTTAGGGACTAAGTCCATAGATGTTTTGTTGAGATCATATCCTTTTCTCATCTGATTCTGTCCGATTTGCTGAAAGAAGGAGATGGCGAGAGTGCCTACCTTATGGAGGTGTAAAAGGGACCGCATGGGAAGCACTCCAAGGGCAAGTGCAGCAAGTGTCGCTGACGTCAGCGGGCCATTAGAAACTTATAAGGAATAAGTCCATAGATGTTCAGGACAGTTGCAATTATTTTTCTGCATAATTTTAAAATATTTTTTTAGTTGTAGATGGACACAATATCTTTATTTTATTTACTTATTTTTATGTAGTACTGAGGATTGAACCCAGCGCCTCACGCATGCGTGGCAAGCGCTCTACCACTGAGCTAAAACTCCAGCCCTTTTCTGCATATTTCTGGTCTGCAAATGGCTGATTCCAATTGTGAGGCAACTGTATGGTTAAATTGGAATTTAGTAGGAGAAAATAGTAGGAAATAGTAGGAGAAAGTGAGTATTTACTGATTAATCCTGGGCACCATTTGTTGCAGTCTTCAGCTCCACCTGCATCTTTTCTGACAAATCCACTTTGTTTAATCTACTAACCAAGAGCCTTACTGAGTACCATGCAGGTGCCATTTAGTCTAAACCATGCCCTCCATGTGCTCTGTACTAGGCTGAGTTATGGCCCCCAGAGACATTAGGTCCCAACTCCTGGAATCGGTGAATCTTATCTTACATGATAAAAGATTTTGCAGATGTGATTAAGGATCTTAACATGAGGTATCTGAGTGGAATTTCAATCTACCACAAGTGTGTTATGAGCAAGGCAGAGGGAGATAGAAGACAGAAGAGAGATGCTATGGTGATGGAGGCAGACTAGAGAGATGCTGTCACAGTCAACACATGCTGGTGACCCTGGGAGCTAGAAGAGGCAAGGACAGAGGCTCCCTAGAGCCCCTGGAAACAGTGAGGCCCTGTCAGTGTTCAGATTTCAGACTTTTTGCCCTTAAGTACTGGAAGAGACTAAATTTCTGTTGTTAAGCCATGAAGTTCATAGTTATCTGTTATTGCAGTCACAGAAAACTTCTAGGAGCACAGAAACTGATGCATATACAATGACTAGAATTCCACCCTGAAGGTGAATTGCTTGCAGAGAAGATAGACTGATTTTACCAGAGCGACCAGGGAAGGCAATTACTGGGCAGAGCCAGGGTGAAGCCCAGGGTTTACAGGCAACGAAAAAAGCAGTTCTATCGCCACAGTTATGTATGAGAATGAGGCTGAGCAAATCGGACAGAATCAGATGAGAAAAGGATATGAGCTCAACAAAACAGGCAAAGGGGAACCAGGAGAAGATCTTGAGCAAAAGAGTAACAGGGGGAAAGCAAACATGAAGACTCATTTTTAAAGCCCCAAGAGCAGGGTGGATTGCAGGGGGCTGGTGCAAAAGCTCTGCTAGGATTCGAGCCATGATTGGATGGTGCTCTAGGGCAGGTCAGTTGCACAAAGAGGGCAAGGCACCTTAAAAAGATGCTCAGGAGGCTATGCTGATGAAATGGGTCCAGGGTTCTAGTCACAGAGCAGGCTGAGAGCAGGATATGGAACATGAGCACAGGGGATGGCACCACCTCATCCCTGAGGGCTGCTTTATAGGGCAGAGCATAACACTCTGATTCATACTCTTTACAGAGGGATTCCACTGAATATGCCAGGCCTTCTAAGAACTGGCTTCTGGAAAACATGGCAATGACAATGAAGTCCTCAACAAAAATCATCTCTATTTTTAAGTGCTTACTATGTAACATGCACTTTGTTATGTGCTCCAGATATACTGAAGGCATGGGTTCTGCACAGGTGCAGTGGCACAGGCCTGTAATCCCAGTTGTTAGGAAATTGAAGCAGGAGGATCACAAGTTCAAGGCCAGCCTCAGCAACTTAGTGATACCTTGTTGCAAAATAAAAAGGACTGGGGATATAGAAAGAAGAAAAAGGAAAACAAAAACCTCCCAAGAATTGGGGTTCTGAAGCTCAGTGGTAGAATGCTTGTCAAGCATGAGGCCTTGGGTTCAATCCCTAGTACTGCAAAGATAAAAAAAAATATTGGGGTTCTGAAGATTGGCTGCCAGAAAGGGAAACCAAATTTCATTATTAACTGGCTGCAAGACCTTGGGCAAGTTGTTCAGCCCTGTTATACTCCATGGTGTCATCTGTAAGATGGTGCAGGTGTGACGCTGGGGTAAAGCCCAGAAGAGCAGACAATCCATTTGTCTTCATCAGCACTGGAACCCCAGGATGGGGCTCGATCAATGTCCACTGGAGGAATAAACCAGTTTACATAATTCCTGCAACTCTGCTATGAGGTTAAGCATTGTGATATTAATTCCATCTTAAAGATGAGGAAAACTGAGTCTCAGGTAAAATAACTTGATGAAAGTCACATAGCCAGTGGGGACCTGAGAGTCTTTTTGATTTTCATGAGCGTGCTGCTAAGCACTAAGGCACCCTTCCTCACTATTAATACTATGTGGAGGGTAAATGCCAAGTCCTGGAGGCAAATGACCCCCCAAGAGCTATGCAGCACCCCAGCCACCTAGGAACAGATTGCTAAGATGTCTCAGTCACAGCTGCAGCTCTAGCCTCCCTGAACCCCGTCACTGATCATGGGCTCTGCACCCGGCATTTGCTGCCAGAATAGGAAGATACCTGCCTCTATGGAGACAAAGCAGAACTGGTCTTTCTGGTAGACATTCACACTTGAAGCCCCTGTTAGCAAAGCACCCAACCTGCAGATTCAGAACCTGGGAATGACAGAGCCAGAGCAAATGAGGACAGATGGCACAGTGGCCAGATGGGCACGTCTCACAGTGACAGCAGTGCCCGCAGACTAGGAGAGAGACGAAGCCTGCTGAGCCTGGCAGCCCTTACCTGTTATGATGACTTCATCCCCATCCAGTAGGAACGTCCTGGTTTGTCCTTTCCCCAGCTCTATGGCTTTCGTTCCCTTCCAGGACAGCTCCAGCATGGAGCCAAAGCTTTCTGGCTCCTTCATAAGGGGAAGGAGGAAAACAGGTCACAGGAGTTCTATTCTGGTGGGATGTGAGCTCTGGCATGGACTGTGCTTGGTGAAACCTGGGAGCCCCAGGCAAGGGCAGGGAATCTGATGATGGTGACCCTGCCTCAGCTTGGAGGGACCATTGCAGAAACATCCTGAAGTCTCCACATACCACCTGTTCGTCCTTCCCTCTAAGGTTCTCACTTGTCCAGGACCTGACTCTGTGAATCCCTGGCCATGTGCTGGGTACCTCCTTCAATGCACCTCCCAGCTCTGGAGGACGCAGCTCAGGAACCAGACACTGTAAAGCACAACACCCTCCCACCGGGAAGAGACCTCCCAGGTGGCATGGTTAGGAGAGAGACTGGCACACATACCACCCTGTGGTTTGGTCAAGGAAGGACAAGAAGGGCAGCAGTGTGGCCACCTCCTCCTGGGCAGGAGCAGAGTGAGACAGTGACAATAAAGACACCGTGGCTATCTCTTGACTCTTCCCTCTGGATACAGAGAGCCAGAGCCCCATGTTCATGCCAGTCTCTTTTCAGTCTGAATATGGAAGAGAATCTCCTCTGTTCCAGGGACAGAGGAGGTAGGAGAAAGATGGGGTTGTGAGGTCTGCCCACATTGGGCTTGAATCCTATCTCGATGGCGAGCTGAAGGCTCTTGGTCTGTGTGGAGACGGGGATGCTCTCTATGGGCGGCCATCCATGCAGCTGGAGACTCACCGATCCACTGATGGTTCCAGAAGCCAAGAGGTCCCCAGGCCGCAGGTTGCAGCCATTGACTGAGTGGTGAGTGAGCTGCTGCAGCATGGTCCAGTACATGTGCTGAGGGAGAGGGACACCGGCAGGGTGAGTAGATGTGGGCATGCCCACTCTCCACAGCCTTCCCTGTCCTGCCCTGCAGGCTCCCCAGCCACTTCTCCAGGCTCCTTATAGAAATGAAATGCTGTCCTCCTGTGGAACTGCTCAGGACAAGTCCCACTGCTCCTCCATCTCCTGCACTAGACCCAGGTTCTGATCCTGTATGATCTCATCCCTCCCCCACCACCTTCTCCAAGCCCACCTCCCAGTTCAGCCCTCTGTCTGTCATGGGCCCAGAGCCCAGTGCACACAATCACTCCCTGCCTTCAATGCCCTAAAGCCCTGCCCTGCGGCTTTAGTCCTCCCCACAGCACTGCGTTTCTCTGAGCATAGGCCTCACATTCGCCCACCCAGGCCTTGGAACCAATGCCAAGTCCTGGAGGCAAATGACCCAAACAGATGTCAGAACAGGCTGGCAAAGGAGCACCAAGGGAGAGGGGGCCAAGGTGTCATGGGCCTCTGAGATGCTTAGAGGCACAGCACAACTGTGCTTCCGCATGGTTACAGCCTTTAGGGTGTGACACTCCTACAGCCACATAGGCAGGCAGAGTGAGCCTCAGAAGCAGATTCCTGCCTGGAAGCTTCCTCACAAGGAACCCCCTTCATTTCTTCTTGTAGCCTAACAAGCCCAGGATAGTCTTAAATTAAAAGGGACACTAAAGGAAAAAGGATCAGAGGATCTTCCAATGGTCAACTTCCAGAGATGCCCAGCTACGTTAGTCATAGGGAAGTACAACTGAAACCACGACCCCAGAACTGCTAAGAGGAAAAGGCAAATGACACCTTGCGTTGGCCAGGATATGGAATAGCCAAAGTGCTAAAATGTTGCTATGGCAGTATAAATTGGAAAACCACCCTGGAAAACTATTCAAAAGGGCTCCTAGGGGCTGGGGATGTGGCTCAAGCGGTAGTGCGCTTGCCTGGCATGCGCGGGTCGCTGGGTTCGATCCTCAGCACCACATAAAAATAAAATAAAGATGTTGTGTCCACTGAAAACTAAAAAATAAATATTAAAAAAAAGTTCTCCTAGGCTGAGTGTATACATACTCTATGACCCAGCAATTCTATTTGTGAAGATACACCCAACAGAAATGTGCACATACAAGCACCAATAGATGTGTACTAGAACATTCATAGTAATCGTATGATGGGCAAAAAATGGGAACCACCAAATGTCCATCAGGAGTGGAATGGCTAAATCATCTGGAATGTTGATTCAGTGGGACACTTACACAGAAAGAAAAGCGAGCTGTCTCTACCCATGGCAACATGGACAAAGCTCACAAATGTTGAAACCAAGAAGCCAGGCAGAAAAGATTCCATTTCCATAACACTGGGACAGAGACACAAAATTCACATATGCCAGCAAGAGGCTGGAGAGAGCTGACCCCTTGCTGGGGCTGTGATGACCTGAAGGGAGCACAGAGGACTCCTGCGGGCTACAGATTTCCTATTTTTTACCTGGGTGCTGGTCATACAGCAAGGTTCATTTGTGAGAATTCCTTGGGCTTCACGTGTACAGTTTGTGTATTTGTATCTATGTGTGTTGTGCTTCAATTAAAAGTTCACTTACAAAAAAAATAAGACACTCTCATCAATCCAGCCCCTGGCAGGACAGGGGGAATAAGACCTTGATCCTTAAAAAGACCTATGGCCCCCATGAAAATCTCTGACCACATCTGTGAAGCCTCTGTTCAAGGAAACTTGACCTTATAGCCATTTCTAGAAGGGGACAGGGTCATGGAAGCTCCAGGGCCTCAAGCTGACCTACCATCATATCCCAGAATGGATGCTATTCTCTTGTTCCTACCAGGAAGAGAGATCTACCTCTTTTCCTTCCTCCAAAGAAGCAATATGACAGTTTCAAAGCTTACCTTAAAGTTGGACCTGCATATGGTAGCTGGTTGGCTCATTCCTTCTCCTGTTGGAAAGAGAAATAACATAGATGAAGTCTTTTTAAAAAAATATTTTTAAAATTGTCGATGGACCTTTATTTCATTTATTTGTTTGTTTATTTGTTTTGTAATGGTGCTGAGGATCAAACATAGTGCCTCACACATGCTAGGCAAGTGCTCTACCACTGAGCTATAACTCCAGCCCCAAGATGAAGTTTTAATTCCACTAATTAGGGAAGAAATTTTTTAAAACTGACCTGTGGCTTAAGCTTCCCATTGTCCAATATGATTTCACTTAAGAGTTTGTGAAACAATAAATTCACAGGGTACTGGGCTGGGAGACTTCCACAGAGATGGTCTAGTGCAAGCCACCACTTTCAATTCTCCCAAAACCACAGCACATGTGTCCTCGTAGTCTAGATATAGCCTCAGAATCCTTCTTAACACAATATGCTTGGAAGTCACAAATCAACTGGAAATAATATGCCCACTGAAACTTATTTGTGATTTTTGGTCAAGGATAGCCTGCTATCCCCCTGGTATTCTTTTGGAAAGGTGGAGCTATCAATCCCTTGCTGAAGCCCTCTAACAATGTTAGCTCATTATTCTGGCAACATCTAGTAAACACCTATTACAAAATTTATTAGGTACCAGGCTACTGCTGTTCCATTTCTGAATAGTACTAACAATTAAAAAGCTCTTCCATTCTCTCAAAATCTGGCTTCTCCCCTCCTCTGGCTTCCCCCCAAGGCAGCAAGCAGCAGGTGTGCTCTTCATCCCCAAGGAAGGTCAGGGTCCCCAAGTCACTCTTCCTGAACCCCTTCACCCAAATCCTAACTCGGAACATCAGAACTGCAAATTCAGGACTGTATCTCTGGACACTGGTTTCTTGATCACCTTGTCCCTTCCCCAACAACACCCTCCCTGGGTGGGCTCACCTCTAGGCAGAAAGAAACACTAAGAATAAAAAAACAAACTAAAAGGGACCCCAAGCATGCATGTGTGTAGCCTAGTTTATAATCCTTGGATTTAGTCCCAGCCTTGCCATTAGCCTGCTAATGGCTCAGGGTGAATCCATTTTCCTCTCTAAGCCTCAGTTTCCCCAATTGGTGACATGACAGAGTAGGACCAGCTAAGTTCCTGGAGGGCCATGGCAGCCACAAGGCGCTTTGCTCTAGGGGCCTCCTGTTCCTTGCTTCTTGAGAAGGGCACTGAGTCTCCTGCTAGGAACCCTCTCTGGGGCCAGCAGTGGGAAAGACACAGCAGAGCCCAATGTGAGATCACAGAACTCCAGGGAGAGACTGAGGGAGATGGAGATTTGGCCAGAGTGGGGCCTGGAGGGCTCTGTAGGCAGCCCGGGCAATTCCTCACCTGGGGCCTAGAAAGAGACCCTGCCTCTGCCTAAGCGCAGATGCCGGTCCAGACCCTCACATGGACTGACTTACACAGCCCTCACTACTGCACCACAGGCTGATGCCTCTGTTATCCCACTTCGTGCAACGAACTAGGGAAGGCAGGTTTGGTAACTGGTCCTAAGCTTCAAGTTGGGCAGGAGCAGGGTCAAGCCTGGACCCCCCACCATGGTCCACAGAGTAGACTCTTTTTCAATAAGATTCTGCTGATCTGTTAAGGAGTCCAGGGAGCAGCTCAGGACATGGGACCTGTCTGCAAGGCTCTCGGGGCTGGCCCAGGATGTGGCTCAGAGACTGTGCGTGGCCCCAGCGGGCTGAGGTCTCTCACTGGCAGGCCTTCAAGGCCAGACTTTCAGACAGGCCCTGGATGAAATCTACCATACTTGATGGAAGATAGGGTCAGTGGCAGTATGTGAGCAGGGACCAGGACCCTGTTTGGGAGACTGCAGAAAGGAGTCAAGGGAAGGATGGGATTTGAGCTCCATGATTTCTGGCCCAAGTAGTTGGGAGCTCAGTCAATGTGACGTGGGCCCATTGGGGCTCCCTTTGAGCACAAGGATGTCCCCTACCTCTCTCTTTCCCTTACAAAACCATACATGCTTCCAGGGCTGGAGCAGACACCTCCCCTTCCACCTTGCCAAAGCTCAGGAACCATCAGGGCAATGGCACTTGGGCACACATGCCCACTGAGCCCTGTGCACACCCACCCACCCCACAACATACCTTTCAGAGCAACAGAAAGGTTGATGTCAAATGTGTAGGGCTGGTCATGGCAGAGATATGGCAAGGGTCTGGGGTCCTGGGAGGGCAAAGCACAGGAAAGAGGTTGCTGGCAGGTGGACTAAGCTCACCGAGGCCCCATGTGGCAGGAGTGTTCCTTCCTAGGGACCTAACACCATGTTCTGGGACCTTAGCTGGACAGTAGGAGTCAGGGTGGTCATATGTGCCAGGTTCTTAAGAAGAGAAGCCAAGGGATGGGCATTGGTAGGTGTAAAGTTATAAGGTCTAAACCAGAGATGCTCCAGAAAGCCAGGATAGGGAGGGCTGGAGAAAGGGGACAGTGGGAGGCCAGAGATGGGGAAAGAAGCCTGTGAGGAAAGGCTAGGGCAAGGCAAAGGGCAAGGTGAGCCTCCCAGAAGACAGAGGGTTGGGGCAGCCAGCAGAAGCAAAGAGTCCTGCCTGGTGCAGGAGCCAGCTGTGGGGGTAGCTTTGACAGCTGTGCCAGAAAGACAGTGCTTTGGCCAAAAGCAGTACTTCCCCAAAGTGTGACATACGAATCACTTGGGGGACATGAGATCATGTTTGGTGATTTCAATGGTTATTTGTGTTTCTTTTCTTTTTTTCAGGGCTGGGGATTGAATCCTGGGCCTTGAGCATGCTAGGCAAGCCCTCTGCCATTGAGCCATGCCACAGCTCCTGTGTTTCTTTTTATGATTAATGATGTGGCTAGGGATGTTGGTAGGGATATAAAATTCCTTTTCTCAACACATTACTTAAGTTTTGAACTGGGAGCTGCTTTAGAGAAAAATGTTAAATAAATATAGTTCACAAGGGACAAGAGTTACTGGAAGGGCTGGCCAAGGTAGGCAGAGCCCAGACATCTCAGGACAGGGCAGTGCCCTTGAAGACAGCTTGACAAAGGATGAGGCTGGAGTGGGGAGGCAGCCCAGGTGGTCCCTGGTGAGGTCAGAAAAGCAACTGACCATGGCTACCATGGCTACAGAGGAAGTGGCCACAGGACTCATTGAGAGGGAGGGAGAGCCAGGTCCTGGTAGCTGAAAATGATGGTGGGGTGGGGTTGCTGTGGCAGGAGTGCTGAGGAGAGCAGGGGCATGGTGAGAGCCCACAGGAACTTCAGGAGGAGCTGGTTTTTAGGGAATGACTCCAGTTTGTTTTTTAAGAGAGGAAATGTTGAAGCCAAGTGTGGTGGCTCACACCTATAATCCCAAAAACTCAGGAGGCTGAGGCAGGGAGGATCACAAGTTCAAGGCCAGCCTCAGCAACTTAGAAGGCCCTAAGAAACTTAATGAGACCCTGTCTCAAAAAAAAGGGGGGGGTGCTGGAGGGGCTGGGGTTGTGGCTCAGTGGTAAAGCGCTTGCCTATCATGTGTGAGGCACTGGGTTTGATCCTCAATACCACATAAAAAAAAATAAATAAAGTTATTTTTTTTTTTAATTTTTTATTGTTGGTTGAATAAAGTTATTTTTAAAAAAGGGCTCAGTGGCTAAACACCCTGGGTTTGATCCCCAGTACCAAAAAAAAAAAAAAGCGCAAACACTGAGATGACATCAGAGGGCATGAGAGAAGGTAGATGAGATGGCCCCAGGGAGGGTGTGGAGGGAGCAGGGCAAAGGACTGGGAGCTCTGTTCTCCCTAGAGGATAGAATTGGAATGAGACATTGCAGAGACCCAGAGATAAAGGGGGATGGGATGCATCCCCAGAAGTCAAAGGTAAGAAAATGCCTAGGAAGAGTAAGGGATTGAAGCGAGGTGCGGCGCACGCCTATAAATCCCAGCAGCTTGGGCGGCTGAGGCAGGAGAACTGCAAGTAGTTTAAAGCCAGTCTCACCAAAGTAAGGTGCTAAGAAACTCACTGAGACCCTGTCTCTAAGTAAAATACAAAATAAAGGGCTCGGGATGTGGCTCGGTGGCCCAGTGCCCCTGAGTTCAATCCCTAGTACACACACACACACAAAAAAGAAAAGTGTAAGGGACTAAGGAACTGCAAAGAGGTCCTGGCCCTAAGGTCATAGGTGACTTTAGTGAGGCACCGGCAAGAAGGTGGGGCAGATTAAGGAGTGAGGGGTGAGACCACAAACCCAGGCCTGGATAGGGGTGCTGAGGACAGGAGGCTGCAGCCATCCCACCATCAAAGCTCAACTCCAAACCACATTCTATGAGTTGGCCTCCAGGGGGCGCCATTGGTACAGGACATATTTCAAGGCAACCTGGGAAGTTGTGCAATGAGGTGGTAGGAGCTGGGATCCTCTGTCCTGGGAGGATTCTAGAGATTACAAAATTCTCTGTTTTTCCTAAGAACTGTGCAGAGGGCAGGGAAGCCACAAGGGAGAATGATTGGAGCCATGACTGCCTGGAGGTCACCGCAACCAGGATGCTCAGGGCACTCCACTGTGGACACAATGTGGGCATGCTGTGGGTACAACGCTTCCCTCTCAATGGTCTCTACACCTGGTGTGCCTGCTCAGCTGGCAGCAGGCTTTCAGAAAGTTGAGCCCTGGATTGGGAGCCTCCTGCAGTAGGTGTGCTTACCTGTATTGGGTTGGGCACAACAAAGGGCATGAGGGCATCCATAGGCACCACCCATGGAGAGATGGTGGTTCCAAAACTCTTCCCGAGGAACGGTCCAAGAGGAACATATTCCCACTGCTGGATGTCTCGAGCTAAAGGAAGAAGGGCAGGCCTAGGCTTACCAAGGCTGACTGGGGCTGGCCCCAGGGTTCCCTCCTTCCCTTGACTAGGGAGCAAAGACACTCAGCATTGCCCTTCCCATGGGGGCTCTGGCCTCATGCAGGCTGCCCCAGGAAAAGGGGGCTAGAGCATTCAATGTCAAGGTGCCAGTTTACTGCAAAGAAGAATGGCCAATGGATGGCCAGGATATCTCCTGTGAACAGGTAGAGGGGGAGAGGACTTTGTAGGACCTCTGGCACCATCTTCCTCCTACATATGGCAAAAGTGTTGAGAGCTCAGGTTCAGAGGCAGGGCTGGTGAGCTTCATGTCTTAGCTCAGCAACTAACTGCAATCCCTCTGTGCCTCTGTTCACCAAGTGGGAAGCACAATACTACTAATAGCCTATAGGGATCCGTAGGAGAGAACACGTCAGGTGCTGAGCCCAGGATCTAACACGTGAGCACTCAATAAATATTAGTTATGTCAGCTAGGTTGCTACTCGACATTTGAGACAGCTGGGGTTCAGAGAGGTTAAGTGACTGGCCCAAGTTCTCAGAGCCAGGAAGTCTGTCTGATACCCAAATCCACACCTCAGTCATTGCACCACCTGTTGCCTGTGACCAACACGGACCCAGGAAACGACCTATAGCTTCTGGGACAGTGTCCCAATCCACCCCCTCCTCAGCTGCCTTCAGAACACAACATTCACAGTAAGCTCAGCCACCAGTAATTACCACTCCAGTCATTCATGAGGACCATTCCAAAAATGTGCTCATGGGCCTTGGAAATGGGGATCGGCTCTCCGAATCTGTTCCCAGGGCCTACAAAGAAAGCCTGATATGGGGAAAGGTAATTAGAACAGCTGACCTGCCATCTCAGATCACTTGTCACCTAGAGAGTGAAGGTCAAATATTTCCAAACCATGGCCAGGGGTCAAGGCCTGCCACAGGGGCCTGGCATGAATTCACTTTATCTCAAAGTCAAGGACTGCACTTTGGGAAAGCATGAGTGGCAGTGTGCCAGTGCCTGCCTCCTCACACCCTGAGTTCTGCAGCAGCTTCTTCCCTTTACTCAGCACATCCCAGGCCATTCTGATCCTTGCCTCTCGCCCTGTGCTTTGCATTTTATCTGATAGCTATATGTGGCTTGTGAAAAAGGAAAATACTAGGATTTGTCCTCATGTCACAAAAAATCAAAAGGTTGCTCCTTCAATGCAGTGCAACCTGCCTGATAGGTGCATCTCATGCCCAATTTGTCACCCCACTGCCTCAGAAGAAAACAGCACCCATGATGTCTATGAGCCTGTAGAATATCCAGACATCTATAAGGGAAAAACAGGAGAATCTCTTTCCAAATTACAAAAAAATAAGCTACTTTTGCCAACTAGAATCACAGTTCAATTTGTTCTATGACAGTGTTTACACACTGAAAATTTTTCATCAGGATTAAAAACAACAAACATACAAACAAACAAATAAAAATAACCCAAAGGCACTATCTCACAGAGAACTCCACCACCTTCAAGTTCAGACTATCTGTGCCTCCTACTCCAACCATTTCTCCACATTCAAACTTTTTTGTCTTTTCTCTGCCCAACACCAAAAGAGACCCAAACAGGAGAAGCATCTGCCCATGAGTATTTCATTCTCCCAGAAGGAAAATCCTGGCCCCAAACCTGGGCTCAGGCATCTTAACTGGAAGGGGGGTCTTCTTCCTGGAGTCTCCGAAGACTCCCTCAAAAAGGCTGTGGAAAGCAGAGAGCTGGTGGGGAACACCCTTACTGATGGGGAGACTATTTGGTAGATGACCATCCATTTCCCTCCTCAGATCCAAATCTGAAGAAATCTCAGGGTAGGATGGCAGCTACAAGGAGCTCTAGCAAAGTCCACTGGTTCTCCAACTTGCATCTAACCAAACCCAGATTCCCTCTGCCACAGCCTGCCTGGGTGGCCCCCTGGCTTCTTCCCTTACATCTGCAAGAATAAGATGCTAGAGCTTCCTGAGACACCGCTAAAACACTGGGTACTGACAGTGAGAGAGCCCTTCAGTCTGCCTGCCTACACTTCCTGCTTTGGGCCCAGCTCCATCTATCATCCAACAACCCAAGAGACAGTAAGGACCCTGCCAATGTCCCCTCTGCCCTCCTTCTTCCAGTTCAGCTCCTCTTTCTCATCACATTCCTGATTGCTCACCTAGAGGGTTGCTCTGAGTTCAGTGTCCCTCTTAAGAAGAACAGTCCTGCAGCATGAAGGAGTGATGGAACCAACTATACCCACATCAATATCCTGATTGCATATGGTACCACAGACATGTAGAATGTTACCAAGGAGGAGATGCATGAAGGGTATTCAGGCTCTCTCTCTCTCTTTTTTTTTTTTTTACAACTGCATGTTAAAGATCTCAAATAATTATCTCAAAAAGTTAAAAAAAAAAAAAAAAAGTAAAGTCTCGAAATGACCACTGTTTTGAGCTTGTATGGATCTAACCATAAATGCAATAGGGCTGTTCTGGTGTATTCTTTTTTATTTATTTATTTTTTAGTTGTAGTTGGACACAATACCTTTATTTTATTTATTTTTATGTGGTGCTGAGGATCGAGCCCAAGGTCTCACACATGCTAGGCGAGCGCTCTACCGCTGAGCCATAACCCCAGCCCTCTGGTGGATTCTTGTAATTCAAGGTAATTATGTTCTATGAAGTCACCAGAACACTGAAATAGCAAATACTGAGTCAATGTTCCTAAGGGGCATACACAGTTAGGTTCCTATAAGCCTCTAATCACATTTTTATGAATTGGTCAATACATAACTATAAAACCTTAGTGTATGTGTATTTCTGTTTAAAGACACTTATTTGATATATATTGTTGATTCATTAACATCAAATCCCCTGCCCTCCATGCTAGAATACATGCCTGAAAAAGGCTTATCTGACACACACATCCTCTGTAAGGCACATCAGCCTTCCTGCACTTAGGAACACAAGTCAGCACTTGGGCCCTGTACGTGGGGGGCTGTTATAAATAACACATTTACCCAAAAAAGCATGAAAATATGAAAACTATGGCACTAAATAGACCACGAAAAGAACACATTTATAGGATGAGAGCAGAAACAGGAAGTTCAACCTCGCAGGGAACTTGCACTCCAGGAGACTAAAATTTTTCACTGTTCTTTTCATGGTAGTGGCCACAAAAGGTCTTGAGTGTCAATTTTGGGGTTACAAATAAATTTCAGTAAGTGGGTAAATCTGGAAATATGGAATCTGTGAATGACCCAGATTGACTCTACTTCCAACAGCAGAACTGCTACCCATGTGGATGAAGGTGTGTGGACAGCTCATCATGCAGGGCAACCATCCCACCAAACACTTTCCTGCCATAGGAGATCCTATGTCAATAAAACACCACAGCACAGGGGTGGGGTGGGTAGGTGTGTAATTCAGTGGAAGAGCAGTTGCCTAGCATGCATAAGGCCTTGGGTTCTATCCCCAGCACTGCCCAAAACAACAAACATACTGCAAAGCCCAGCTTACCATTTCCAACTCGATGTCCAGGAGTTTGCAGGCACCATACACGGGAGGCTTGGCTGGAATAACATCAGGATAAAAGGAGCTGTTGTGAGTGCCAGGCTGCAGAACCCACTGTGTGAGAACAGAGAGCTGGGCACTGGAAGGGTCTAGAGATGGGGGGTCACTTACAGTTATCAGGTCTCATCTGTCCCATGGGCCTTCGGATTGGGGTGCCAGACACCACAACAGAGGAAGCACGGCCATGGTAGCCCACGGGTAAGTGCAGCCTGATAAAGGAAGGTGAGGGAGAGAGCAGGACATCAAAGCTCTTACATATCTTTCTTTCTTTTTGTGTGTGTGTGGTACTGGGGATTGAACTCAGGGCCTTGTGCATTCGAGGCAAGCACTTTATTAACTGAGCTACATATCTTTCTTGATTGATTGATTGTGCTGGGGATTGAATCCTGGGGCACTTTACCCTGAGCCACATTCCCAGTCCTTTTTGATTTTTTTACTTTGAAACAAGGCCTTGCTAAGTTTCCAAGGGTCTCATTAAGGTGCCCAGGTTGGCCTCAAACTCATGAGCTTCCTGCGTTGCTGGGATTATAGGTATGCACTACCACACCTGGCTCATACTTATTTTAAAATAAACTTTAAAAAGGAACATAGAGTCAATATATACATATGGTTTTAAAACCAAAAGTACACTTAGGCTCTAAGAACACTCCTGGCTTGGCTGAGGTCACCCAGTTTGAAAAGGTAGCAAAGCGATTCAAATCCAGGTCTCTCTGACCACAAGGTTCTGCTGCTTCCTCTGTGGCCCACTCCCAACCTAATCCCAGGGGACCCTGGAACTAGAGTCAGAGTGAAAGAGTCATCCCAGGCAAGGGGAACACTGCCAGAGGCTCTGTTTGTAAGACAGAAATGTGGGGGAGGAAATAAATATCAAAACACTAGGAAGAGATTTAAAATAGCATAGCACTGGGGGGGCGGCGGTCAACTGAATACACTGAGAGCCACTTGGAGGTGAAATGCAGTATATCATAAATAAAACTGGTGAATGTTTTGGACAATGGGAGAAGTTAGACTCTGTGGTGCAGTGAATGGCAGCTCCCCAAAAGGCATGGCCACATCCTCACCCCCATGAAAATGTGGAAAGGAGTCTTTGTAGATGTCATTAAGTGAAGGATCTTAAGATGAGGTCATTCTGGGTTATCTGAGTGGGCCCTATACCCAAAGTGTCCTTATAAGAGGCAGAAGCATGGAGAACAGGAGGCGGCCATGTGCAGACAGGCCGAGATAGGAGGGTTGGAGCCACAGGAATGCCTGCAGCTACAGAATGGAGTGGCAAGGGAGGGTAGGGTTCCCTGGGAGCTTCAGAGGGTGCCCTGCTGACACCTTCATTCAGACTTATGGCCTCTAAAACTGTGACAGAATAAATTTCTGCTGTTAAAAGCCAACCTGTTGTGGTATTTTTTTTTTTTTTTTGCAACAGCCCCAGGAAACAAATACAGACCCACAGCCCACATTTTTTTTGAACATAAAAGGACATTCCAGATGGATTAGAGATCTACATGTACAAAGAAAGGTATTACAAGCATTAGGGGAAAATACAAAAAATATTTTCAAAATTGCCTTTCTAAACATGACAATAAAGTAAATGTCATAAAGAGAACAAATATCATGTTTGACTTTGTAAAAATGCAGACTGCTATATCTAGAGAGAAAGCCAAGTTAAAGGACAACATATAGGTTGACTTCCTTATCAGAAATGCTTGGAACCAGAAGCATTTCAGATTTCAACTTTTCTTCAGATTTTGGAATATTTGGTCAGTTCTCCCTATCCAGCTATTATCCTGAGGAGAACTATGTTGGGCTATTATTCTGTGCCTTTCTCTCTGCTCAGACCAGCCTACTCAGATATGTATGTATCCTATAAATATGTCCATAAAAATATATAAAATATACATGGATGTGTATGTGTGCACATGTGTGTATGTGTGTGCGCGCGCGCGCGTGTGTGTGTATTAAGTTGAGAAATGGCTCCCCTCAGAAGATCCAAATCCCTGGAACCCATGGATATTACCTTATATGGCAAAAAGGATATGATTAAGTTAAGGGTCCTTATAAGTCAAAGGGTAGAAGGTTAAAGGAGGATGTAGGAACTATGAGAATAGATATGAGAGGAGAAAGGGAAGGGGTCATAAGGCAAGGAAGAGGTGGCCTACAAAACTGAAAAGGAAACAGGCTCTCCCTGGAGCTTCCAGAAGGAACCAGCCCTGCTGACATCTTAATGTTGGCTCAAGTGAGACTCATTTTAGAACTACGTAGACTGTATACCTGCTGGTCTACGTCATCAGGTTTGTTTATAACAGCTACAGGAAACTAAAAGAGTGTATATGTGCATATATGTTGTTGCCTTTTTATCAAAATGTAAATGACCACAAGGTCATTTACATTTTGATAAATGTACATGATATTTATGTAATATTCTAAAATTTTCTTTTATTAAATTTAATTTCATTAAATGAAATTTTAATGTATATCATTCACGTCTCTATTTAAATATTTCAACAGCTACAGAGGACTTCATAATGGGAAGAGAGTAGTTTTTCAACTATTCTTCTACCAACAAACACTGAGATTGCTTCTAGCTTTGAGGACTAGAAACACTGCTAGGAAACGTTCTTGCTCTTGAATATAATCACACTAGTGCATTTAAGTCTGTAGGATAGATGCACAATTGTGGGTGAAAGGGTGTACATATTTTAAATTATAAATGTTTTGCTTTATGTATTTTCTGTAGTGTTTGGGCTAATCATAATAAGCATATAGTTGAACACCCCTAATTCAATAACTAAAATTCTGAAATGCTCTACAATTAAGAACTCTTAAAAACCAATAACACCACATGTGGAAAATTCCATAGCATGAAACTTTTTTTTTTTGTGTGTGTGAGTGTACCAGGGATTGAACTCAGGGGCACTTAACCAGTGAACCACATCCCTAGCCCTTTTTTGTATTTTATTTAGAGACAGGGTCTAACTGAGTTGCTTAGAGCCTTGCGTACTGCTGAGGCTGGCTTTAAACTCATGATCCTCCTGCCTCAGCCTCATGAGCTGCTGGAATTACAGGCATGCACCAACGTGCCTGGTGAAACTCTTTTAGGAAAAAAATTTTTGAAAATATTGTATAGGCCTAGGGGTAAGCTTAATGGTAGAGCCCTTGCCTAGCATACTTAAGGTCCTGGTTCAATCCTTAGCACTGCCAAACAAAATTATACATATACATAAATATAAAAAAATTATAGGGGGCTGGGAATATAGCTTAGTTGGTAGAGTGCTTGCTTTGCATGCACAAGGCCCTGGATTCAATCCCCAGCACCACACACACACACACACA